CTTGAAGCTAAATGGCCAGGGATTTTGCGGTGCAAGGTTATTCAGGCAAATCCATTCAATCAATACTAGATTCGATCACATTCCTCAGTATTCATGCTTTACTATTCATCTTATCTTAAGTAGTCTCATTTCTCATCTGCTAATAATCTCCTTGGGCGTTGAAGCTATCTCGATGACCTCACATTCAAGCATGCAAGGAGCATCCGAGAAGGATATCCGAGCCAACATCGATGTCGATATTTCGACCGGAAAAAATGAGCTCTGATCGAACGGATTCTGGATCACAATCCGAATACCCGTCTAAATGATCATGGTATTGTTGTCCGGTTATCGCAATGCCTTGATGATTCTTGAATTTCCTCTTCGTCTAGCCACACACTCGTTAACCGAGTCTCCACGATCGTGTAGTAAATCATGTTCAACCAAAATATTCTCAGGCTGTACATTGATCTATAAGTCATCGCTTCTACCTTGCCGATAGAAGCACAAATGAGTGAAATATAAGTCTCGTCCTAACCTTGATCTTACACTGTGGCCGCAGCCAATTATTGTAATCTTACCTACCTAGTGTCTTCATTTATTTCATCAATTTTTGTAACAGCTTTAGGCATCAAAACGTATGACAAACGAGCGAGCTAACACATACCGATTGTACAAAAGAATTGCTCTTGACAATCATCTCTTTCCCTATGCCTCTTTCACTGATCATATGCAAGCAACTACTAGAGTAGATAGAAACCACGAAGGAAGCCCACCCACCAAAACTTTCCAAAAAAAAACAAAAAAGTTAACAGACATACAACAGTGGGGATTCGCTGGTGGTCACCCACCCAACTACTAATCCACCGATCTGAAGCTTGTGTATGGCAGAGCGGACGGGATGCCCAATTCTCTTCAGTCTATGGTCGTATGTGACAAAGTAGGAAGTTAGAGAGTTTATATTGTATACTGCTTTCGAGGTTTTTATGATGGGAAAGTGGTGATGGGAGAGAGAAATGCAGAGAGAGATATTACCGGGGTCTGTATGAAGATTTTCACGTTGAAGATATGATGTGAGAAAGCTGCTAGATGTCTAAGTCAAAAAGCATCGGGGGGGGGGGGGGGGGGGGGGGGGGGGGTAGCCCGAGGGCCCTTCGGGTCGGAAGCCATCTGTGGAGCAGGATTGGGCTATTAAACGACGCTGTAATCACAGGCACCCTCAGATCCATTGACGTCTAGGGCAAGCGAATCGAATTTAAGGGTCAACTATCAAAACTGAAGCAATTTGTATCTGAAACGTCTCAATGAAGTAAATTGGACTCAAGCCTCTGCTGACGGAAAGCGAACGAGAGGAGCTAAGATGGTAGACTATTCATATTGTATTATTGACCAGACTATATTAGAACGGCAACCAAAATCGAGAATTGAAATGAATGACAACGAGAATAATATGTCGATGTCTAGAGATAACGGAAGTGACTATGAATATGTAAGCAAAAAACCATCCAAAAGATGGGCAGAGTTCACAAGAACTACTTTACATATGAATCGCAAACACAGGGTGAAGAAATGGGAGAATCCTTTTGATTGTTGACCTACTCGTAAGGCATGAAACGTTGTTATCTCCAGTCTTCTCGATCAAGGTGTATAGATACTCAGACTGTGAGATTGCGAGTGGAATAATTTGAGTAGATACAGTAATCACAGGACACAAAATTTTCATTGTTAAACGGATAAAAATGTAAAACCCTTCAATTCACGCAAGATTTGTCCAGATAAGCCCAAGAAGCGAATATAAAAACTCCCTCCAGGAGCTGCAACGGAAGCAATTGAGCACACAAAGGTCGATTTTCTCAGACATGGCACATGTCACATGGGCCGCAGACCTGAGAAAAATTCGACTTAAGACTCAAGATAATGTTTGATGGGAATCAGTCAGCTAAACCGCGCGAGTTTGTCAGACGTGATTTATTTAGTGAGCCGGGAAGTTCAGGCAATGACAATGAGTGATAATGAATGACAACCATTGACAAAGAATAGACAACAACGAGAATTAAAACGTTTGGACAACGGGAAGAATTATTTTCGCCAACTGTCAATGAAGTGGAATTTACTGCACATAGCAATCTCAACCGAAAGAGCAATCCAAGGCAGAAAATATGAAACTACAGCCGCCAATCTCGAAACACAAGTCTATTTCCCAAAAGTGCAGCGGTATCCCTCGTGGACTCGTAGGAAGTAGTTGCGATGAAGTTGATGATTTGGCAACCGGAGTTTGAGAGACTTATATACCACAAACTGCGATATAGATTCTGGAGGTGGAAAGGGATATGTGATGTTCAATCTTGTCGACGCCTGTCACGCACCCATCCCAATCCCCACCCCCTCACCCAAGCGATATCCACATAAAACAATCTAAAACGTAAATCTCACCGCACATATCTAATGCCCAAGTATATAAAGCCTCCTCAAACTCCAATCGGAACCCCATAATGTAGTCTAGAGTGAGGCCCAAGAAAAAAGCTCAAGGACTCACTCATGTGAATTTGAAGCATATAGTCAACAGGATGGAAGGATGGAAGGGGCTGGTATATCGTGGTATCTCTCTAGATATTTAGGAACTAGGAAGAAGTTGTCAAAGTTGTGTGGAGTGCGGTGATTCAGCTGTGGTGGTATGTGAATTGAATCAGTGTTGATTGTGGGTAGAATGACGACGAAACTGGTAGAACTTGTCTCCCCAAATTCTGGCAACAAAACGGAAAGCTCTCGAGATGATAATGGTTAGAGCAACAATAACGCCATCACAAACCCAACTCCCCCGCATCAAATCCCGCAATACATAGCATAGCATAATTCAACCCCTGTCCCTAAGAATCCTAAAATAATCTCGAGTTCTCTGTACAGAATCCACTGAGTCACTGACTCTATACCGAAATGATGGTGCTTCCAGGGATGAGTATAGCGAGTCTAAAATTTCTTTCCATGATTCTTAAATAGGTAGTACAAAGTACTTGGAGGATATGGAATATTGAGCAGGGAGTGAATGTACTCATGCGAAGAGGAATTGTGTGATCACAGGGTATTCTATCACTAAGTATGAATGGTTTGGGGGGGGGGGGGGGGAATCTACTAGTATCAAAAGAGAATTCTAGTGGTGGGGCTGCACTCTATCTTCACTAGAACTAGAGAATCATCCACTATTTCAAAACATCTACATAGATAATTTCCACATGCGCCGCCTCCCCCCCCCCCTTCCTGATATACAATATACAATACACAATAATCAACACACGAGTATAAAACAACCTCTCATACTATCTTTTCCAAACTATGAACTTCAACAGCGCTCGAGATGACATTCGTCATATTCTTCGTGACTTGCAGTAACATCTTAGCATAGAATATCTGATTCTGTTCGACTGCTGCTGTGAGTATCTAGTTTAAGGTTTTTTTCTTTTTGTAATTTGATATTATTATTTTGACATTGAGATTGAGAGAAAAAGAATAATAATAATAAGAATAAGAGTAGAAATAACAGTGGTAATATATATCCTAAGCCAATGAAAATATAGCAATACAAAGCCAACAACAACAGCCAAAGACCGTCATCTAGCCCAAACCATCCTCTACTCATCTCACCATCTGACTATATCACCATCTCCCCTCCCCCCCCCCACCTCTCAATCCTCTCATATCCCTACCACACCCCTCTCCCATAACTCCTCAAGCCCACCTCCACAACCCACCAAACCTCCCACTGAAAGAACGCTCAAGCTCTAGTCAACAAGCATGTAACTATCCTTTCTCGTTAATCCAAGGAATGAGTATATATATATAATATAATATAACCACTACTCTCTCTCTCCCTTTCCGCTCCTGATTTCTGAACAAGGAAATCACTCGCCTCATCTTATCTACATCTTCACTATCGGTGAATTCCATCAATTCGATTTACATGAAAGCAAGAAAAACGTTGAGCGTGTAGTAAATATTTGGTATGGTATGGTGTGTGAATCATGACAAAGATTGGGCAAGAGAATATAATAGACTTGGGGATTGTGTATTCACTGGGGAATCTAGGTAATTAGTTGATACTGATTATCCAGAAAATATCCATCATGCCTTATCACTCTGAATCTTCTCAAGAATATCCAGACATCCAGGTACCATTCGATCTCCTCCGGTGAATATCAATCCCCCTTCCCCCCCTCGTCCACCACTCCCCACCCCACCACACTACACTACACCCTATTCACAATCTAACCCAACCCCACAAATCCACAAATTCTCAAACCATCCATATCAAAGACCCCTCTCAAACATACACAAAAAAACAGCAAGAACCACATCAGTTCACAAACATCATACTTCAGGGACAAAAGTCTGCGTTGCAAACCTAATACCTCCTAAACTCATCTTCGCATCCAAATCCAGATCCGTACGCAGAGTGCGGTGCGCAAGCACTTGTTTTTGTGTTATCAAATTTGCTTAAGTGAGTGTGTGATGAGATTGGGAGAGATGAGTGTAATGAATAGAAGATTGAAGTGTGTTGATCGACAGCGAAAAGAACTTTTCAACGATGAAAGAAAGTAGGAATGACAATTAGGACGAACTGAAAGGCCACAAAATCACGCAACGCTACCCATAACTTATAGAAGTCAACTTCTAATAAGATAGACTACCATAGTCATCGACAATTTCCTAGCTTGGATAGCCGGCTAGTGTACCAAGGCAGTTGCTAAAGAAGCTTCTGCTTTCCATTGACAAGCTTTTCTATACTTCTACCGTTCGTAAAGATTGCGTGATCATGAATGTGTCCGTAGTGAATGCTGGTTGTGGTCCATGATTTATAGACGTTTTTGCGGGTGGGGTGTCTTGTTCGAAGAAAGCATAGAGTCGTGCTGCGCTGGTACTACCAGTCATCCCCTCGTCAATGCCGTGCTTTCCCTCTCAACATCCATTTGTGACAAAGCACAAATTGTACCGGGAAAAAAATGCAGAACAGCACCCCGTCCACCCTACCAAACATCATCACCAGAACACATAAAGCATAGTTCATAATTCCGTGTTGATCCCTCACATCTATTAGCAACCCACGCAATCTGTATCTCAATCTAGCAGTCTCTCTACCGCATATATATGCGCAACCCATCATCATCCATCATCTATCGATCAACCCCCGGAAATCCATTCCTTCCTTCCTCCAACCCCTCATTCAGTCTTAACAGCAACATCCTTACTAACACCATCTGCCTCCGCCGTATTAATCTTCTTTCCCGTCTTTGCAATCTTCTCCAACACAGTATCGAATTCTAATTCTGGTTTTCCGATGACCGTTGCGGTTTGACCTGCAAGGTCGACTTCGTATGCGCGGACACCTATTTTGTTTCTCTCAGTTAGTAATCTTCTAAAATCCCAAGATTACAATCGAGGTAGTGGATAGATATGCGACACCAAACTGCGCAGCGCAGAAATCATGTATTTTGTGCGCGAAGCAAAGGAGAAGAATAAGATCTTAGAGTAACAAAACAAAACAGATCAAAACAGGCTCACCATCCAATTTCTTCAAAACTCTATCAACCGCTCCAGAGCATCCTCCACAACTCATGGAAATGTTGAACTTGTATGTATGTTCGCCCTCCTCTGCGATCAAAGTAGCTGGTATGTTTACGCCGGTGTCTGCCATTGTGTCTTGTTTGTGTAATTATCTGTTCTTATCGTGATTTCGAGGATGTATTTGAGGTTGTGTGCGAAGAATGAATCTTGATTCGTAGATGCGGAGAGGCTTGTAAAGTAAAGTAACTTCTCGAGTGTATGATCGTATCGAAAGTAACAAGAGAAACAGGATGCGACGACCGATCCTTATAACTTTTGAAGCTTCGGAAAGGCTGAGAGGGAGAGGGGCACCTGCACTGATAACGCAATGCGCTCGCTTAGAAATCACAAAGCCGATGGACCTGGTGGATCCTGGCCTGGCGCCAAACAAGGATGAAACTTGCTCAGAACAGATCATTCATTCACTGGCTGAGTCGACTGGTCTGGGTGGTCATCACACACACGGGGATTAGGTATGGAACTCCATTCCATTCGCGGACAGATGTTGATTGCTCTTTCGGTGGTGGGAGATGTGAAGAGATAGTATGAGCATGTTTTTCAAGGGGGTGAATCCGCTTCCTTAATATCAATATTGATAATTTAATACTGCGAGCGGGTATCACAGGAGACAATGAGTAAGAAGGGTTATTCAAGACCGTTCGGGGTTGAAGCTATTTGATTACACAGATGCCTCCTCAAAACATGCAGCTCAACCTACCATTTTTGTGCGCACTGATATCACAGGTGCGAGTAATATACATCTAATTTGCGCTGAAGATCACATTCTTATTTTGTTAAAATCGCTATTTAGCTGTAATGTACAGATATGAACAATTCCATTCAAGTCAAACCAGGAATTTCATCATCATCATCCGCATCTCCGACGCGAGGCTGTCTATGGTCCCCAGCTTGTCCCTCTGGATCTACCAATCCAGGCGTTGAATCATTGTCATCCTCCTCATATTCAGAGTTGTCATCGAAATTTTCCGGTGATCTCCAAAAACCAAGATATTGCAAGATTCTCGAAGCTGCGGAAAGTGATGGTCCACGTGGTTGTCCTTCTGATCCTTCCTCACCAGCTCCCTCTAGTTCTCCTTCTGATAATCCTTCTGCAAAATTTCTTAATCGTTCAAGTGCTTCTGCTTCATTCTCAACTTCATCGCCACCATCGATATCATCACCCCCTACTCCACGGCCTCGGAATGCTTCCAATCCTGGAAACCCTGGCATGAGTCGCGCGAGAGCCGCGAGCGGATCATTGAATCTATCTTCAACAAATTCGTGCTCATTTCCTAAAGTTCTTCTTTGAGATGGGTAGGAGATAGTATTTGAATAAGGTGGCAATGGATCTGAATCTGAGTTGTTGCTTCTGTGGAGGAGATTTGATGGGACGAGACTCATCAAAGCGGGTTGATTTTCCAAATAAACAAACCTAACAACATCAAGATTCAATTCCCTAAGGTCCGATAGCAGGGGAGTTTCTGATAAATCGGGCTTATAAATTGTATGTGCAATTTCCATGAGTAATGCAGTAGACTCGGTAGTATTCCAAAGGTCCTTTGTCTGAAGAATGTATAGTTGCGTGAAGAAAGTATCAGACGCAGTCGGTGGTGTTGTACCCCAAATTGACGGAGGTGCGTCAAGGTTTAGTTCTTGAAAAAGTCGACAAAACAGCCAAGGTACGTGTTGCATGGATTCCGATAGAAGACTCCTACATTTAACTGCGTCCTTAAGTTGTTGCGCCGCCAAAGCGAATGATGGTTTGGCGTAATTTATTGTGTTTGCCCACTCAGGTATATTTCGACTGGCGGCAAAGTCCAAAAGCCATTGAAACTCATGTGCACGTAAAGCAAGATGGTGTATCATCCATCTCATGCAATATGGATCAGTCTCGGGATCCAAACTCAAGAGCAGTTTTGCCCATTCAAAAGCCGTTCGATAAGTTCCCTTCATGATGAGAGATTTTATGTAGTGGTATCCAGCTAACCAAAGTTCTCGATTCTCTGGTCTACTGAAATTTAATCGAGCTTTACCTTTGGCCAATTTAGTACCAAAGGATGACAAAGAGATTCGGCCAAACGTAAAAAGAGCCCTTTCGACGAGATCCGATGCTAGGGAATGGTCGCTTTGATTTTTTGCAATCTTGCTGACTTGGAGGAGGAGTGAAATGTTGTACGCTATCATATGGTCAGTTAAAGCTATGTGAAGTATCGATTTTACTCACGAGATCTCACAAGTAGTGCAATAAGGCTCTGCGGATTACCCATTTCAACCAGATTTTGAAATATTCTCTGCACAGATTGGTATGATTGATCATGTACAAATCTGTATTCTATGGTGCCATCAACCACACGTTGATTTTCGACCACTTCCATCGTTAACCCACCCGAGCTAGATTTTGGCCATTCATCCTTCCCCTGTATGAAGAGGTTGCGTCGCAAGGTAAGGTCTGGAAGCCCTTTGCCAGGTGGATGGTGTCCTTTCAAGGCCGTCTCTAAATCTATTCGTTGATTCTGTTGTCTCCTTCTTGCTCCACGGCCAGTAGGTCCTCCAGGATCTTCATTTGGCTCTGTAGCAGCTCGTCCAAATAAGCTTCGCATTTCGTTTGCAACTTTCAGATGCTGTGTGTTGATACCCAAGAGAAAACAGACCCTCTCGTATTCTTCATCCACTTCAATTGAACTTGTCGTATTTGTAACATTCGGTTTCTTCAAATTCAACTCTTTCAATGCTTGATCAATATCATCCAAATCGTTCTTCGGCTTAGCTTCAGCAGCTTTTGCAGAGTCTTTTCCTTTTCCAGCATTTTTTGCCTTCTTCTTTTTCTTTGATTTCTTGGGCTTCTTCGCTGTCACAATTGGTGTGGGTTCGCTCAATTCTTCTTCCGCTGACTCTTCTTCTTCCTCGATGCCCTTCGTCTCGTCTTCGTCTTCTAAGTCTTCTAAAGCTGCGAAATTCGCAAACAAGCTGGGTTTTGATTGTGAAGGTTGTGGCTCTTCATCGGATTCTTCTTCTTCTTCCGCCGCTTCTGCTTGGGCTTGAAGTTTGGCTTGTTGTTCCAGCTCGCGCTGTTGTTGTAACTTTCGTAATTGTCTACTCGACATGATGAGGGTATTGGCTATTTGAATAATACCAATGAATATCAAGATGTAGGAGTACAACTATGAGAATGACAATGACATTGAGTGTGAATGTGAATGTGAATGTGAAAGAATTGAAGAACCAAAAAGAGCGATCCCGTTCTATTCTAGAATCATTCATCTGTGTCGATAAAAATCAAACGGGGAATGACGCATTTGATTTATTACCTACAGAGTACTTCTTCGTACATCTCAGTGTCGAGCTAGTGGGGTTGATAGACTGGTGGAGCCTGGTGAGCGATAGAGATTGCTTACCTAATTATTTGATTGGTCATGTTTCGGCCTGAGCAAGATCCATTTTACTGCTGGCAACCTTAAGACCTCGCAGTCTCTGTCTGATACACAGACCTGGTAATAATAAGTGGTACTTTACTAGTACCACCCACCTACTAGCACTTCACGTTGTACCTTCTCAACCAAATAATAAGAATAATTATCGACCCAGTATGTTATACGTCGTATTGATAAGAAGAAATACTAGGTAGTCGTTTGGAGTCTCTTTTCCCTCTCTTCTAGCCATCGCCACTTTCTCAATTGTTATAATATCAATACCCTCCAACCACTCCTCTGCAGTCCGTCCGTCTAACCACTCCTCTTGAGGTCCTGGCAATATCCGGGGTACTACCAAAGCGTTATCTCGGAAATCAAGCCTAGCTAAACCCCCCAGGAACTCAAATTTCTGGAATTTCCTCAATACCAGAACTCTTCATTTCCAATGCGTCGAGTAGCATTAAAAGCGATTCGCACGGCGAGACAATTACCTGCTCTTCGTAGCACCCGTCGAAGCATCTTTCAACCATCAAACTATGTTCTAAGAGCGCGATATTCTTCCGGTAGAGCTCCTATTTCCAAATCATCAGCATCATCAACTTCACCACTTCATACTTCCATCATCCCAGCCTCGATGTATTGGCGAAGGTTTGGTCTGGCGTTCGTTTCAGGCTTGGTTGGATATGGCGCGTGGTATACATACAACGGAGACGAAACTCTCACCCAAGAAGCCAGTCCAACTTCATCAGTACAACAATCCCGCGGCTTCTCAACTAGCACCATCTATTCAACACCGATCGGGCCCGAAGAGACCGCGGATGCTAGAAAGGCTGTAATTGTCAGCACAGAAGGTCTTTATACTGACACAATTGAAGGTCCAATTTCAAAGGATACGGACGATTCTGGAAGAAAAGTTTTAGAAATGTTAACACCAGAGCAAGCAACTTCGAAATTGAGAAGAAATGAGGAATCTTATTTTGTCGGTCGTGGCAAAGGAGTTGTGCGATACGATGTCGTTCAAATCCCAAGCAATGACCCAATCGAGGATGATCATTCGGAAAAGATTATTGAAACCAATGAAGCAATTGCTGGACAATCACCCTCGGATTGGATGTTTTGGGGTGTATTCGATGGGCATTCGTATGTTTCCATTCCTATTTACCACTACACTCACTAACATCTGAACAGAGGCTGGACTACTTCTGCTAAATTACGACAAGTATTGATCAATTATGTCGCTCGGGAACTCAATTCTACCTATCAAGCCTCTCCCAATCCTTCCACCGAAGCCATTGAAGCTGCGATGAAGACCGGCTTCACTCGACTCGACAATGAGATTGTACATGAAAGTGCGCAGAAAGTAATGAAAGGCAATTCGAAATTGGTCGCAGCAGAACTATTAGCTCCAGCATTATCAGGATCTTGCGCCCTTCTTTCCTTCTATGATACAAACACCGGACTTTTGCGCGTCGCATGCACTGGAGATTCACGCGCGATTCTAGGAAGACGTAGTGAGAGTGGGAAATGGACTGCTAAAGCTTTATCAACCGATCAAACTGGTAGCAATCAAGATGAAGAAGCTAGAATGAGAAAATTACATCCTGGTGAGGATCACGTCATCAGAAATGGCCGTGTCTTGGGAGGTCTTGAACCAACTCGCGCATTCGGCGATGCAACTTATAAATGGACTCGTCAAGTTTCAGAGCGACTAAAGGAATCTTTCTTTGGAAGAACGCCATCCAGCCTTCTTAGGACCCCACCATACGTCACTGCGGAACCCGTAGTAACAACTACCAAGATTCAACCGGAGAGTGGAGACTTTGTTGTAATGGCTACGGATGGACTTTGGGAGATGCTCTCGAACGAAGAAGTAGTCGGTTTGGTTGGTCAATGGATTGATAAACATTCAGCCGATTCGAATGGAAATTCCGCAAGTTCATGGACAAAAATGTTTACAGCGTCGCAAAAAGGATTACCTGTAGAAGCAAGTAAAGATGATGGTAATAGTGGCCAAAAAGCACCAATTCGACAACGGCAATGGGGGGTTACGGAAAGTGATAGATTTGTTGTTGAGGACAAAAACGTCGCCACACATTTGGTACGAAATGCATTAGGTGGAAAGGATAAGGATATGGTTTGCGCTTTACTGTCACTGCCTGCCCCTTATTCTAGAAGATACCGGTAAGTTACGCTCTCTACACTATTTATTTTCACGAAATCATGCTGACAAATACACAGTGATGATCTTACGGTAGAAGTCATCTTCTTTGGCAACGGACCAAAATCTGGCGATATTATTGTCAATAAGGAAGCAAGTGCGAGCGCAAACAACGTCAAGCCTAAACTATAAAATAACTCTAGATTCAAAGAGAAAAACTACTTCTACTTTTCAGCGTGTATTATTAAGCATTTAGCTTTGATATTGGATTTTGGGGAGGACGAAGGAAATGATTGGTATGGATGGATGGTGGTAATATACCCAGCGTACTGGTTAGTGAGTTTCGAAAGGCTCGAATTCATGAAGAGCTCAACCTATTGTTAGCTATATTTGCGAATAGTATATGAATTCTTCGGAGCATGATTTTAGTGCCGATGTTGTAAGAATTGGCATGTGGATATGAATATGAGTATGTCTTCAATGGCAGTTGAAAATTTGTAAAGAGGGGTTCAAAGAATACAGAGAGTACTCTCTTGATTTCACTGTTAGTTGTGATCAGGTAGGTACCTTGCTGGCTATGACTTTACGGGCTGATATAACTATTTGTTCACTGCTTACTATGTGCTAGTTGCAAATGTCTGGCATCTAATGTTAAGTGATAAGAGAGGCAAAGCGATCTCCAATGCTATTCGTCAAACTCTGGAGATGACCTCAATGATTGATACTTGAGTACCTGTTGACTTCGTCTTCATTCCATCTTCTCCCCCTCTTCACTCCCTCTTCACTCCCCAGAATCCGATCAGTTTATTTGTCAAGCGATGCATACATTGAAAGTAGTCACAGATGGGGTGAATACTACATGGGTGAAGTCAGGGCAGGGTATAAACTTTAACCTTGTCAATTGAATAGCGAATAACCTTGATTTTTCTGAAATTTTATTTAGTGCTTTTGGAAAGTTGGAATTTGAAAGTTTGGAAGGGTGATTTAAGACTTCCTTGGCTATGTGACAATTTTATCCCCCTTTCTGACTCTGTTTGGCTTTTCTTTTTTCCAAATTCTGCAAGAATTCTTCCTTTTTCCCATCCCTCGAGGCGATGATGTGCTTGTCAAATCGCGTTGTCTGTTGACCAGCAACATAGTTATAATATCTATACCTCTCTTTCGAATCATGAGCTCTTCCTTTCAGTCCCTCCAACGACTTCCCTTTCACACTCTCGATCAGGACTTTGACCTGCTCATATTTCTCAAAGGTCAGATTCAGCGCCTCCATTTGATCAAAAATCGTCGGAAAATCAATCGAATCCACATCTGCCTTATTCTCATTCACGTTTGAACCCCGCTGGAAATCTGCCATCAAATGTTCGATTTGTGCGTTAGCATCCTTGAGTGATACATCAATGTATGTGATCAACTCTTTGATCGTTTCCTCATAGCCCCCCCAATTTTTTCCTTTAGTTCTGCTTAGACTGAATCGTTCAAGGAATTGGTATGCCGAGGGGAAATCAAAACTATCCCATCCCTGCTTTTTCGCTTCTTTGGTCATACCGGACTCGGCTTCCTTGAACGCTTTTTCAAGATTTCTCCTTTCTTCAACGGTTGAGTCAATAATATTTGTGAATATATGTTTCATCCTCCAAATATTCCTTATCTTTAGTTTTAATCGTTTGTAATGATTGATCCAAAGTACTCCCACTGTTCTGCACTCTTCTAGATTTAGATCGGCAGCTTCATCTCCAGGTTTCACTTTGGCGAGCTCTTCCCTTAGATAATCTGTTTCTCGCCGAAAGATGTCTATATAAACATCGATGGACTTTGAAAATCCCCCAATAGCTTCGGAGGCTGTCTAGGCCTGTTTTCGAAAACTTCGAATTTTGATACTTAATCCTGGAGAATCTTTTGACAGTTCTGGAAGTCCATCTCTCAGTCTGTTGAGTCCGTATTGCGAATCGGAATATGCATCTTTCAAGACATCGAGCTGCGGACTAATATCTAGATTCGCGAGATCATATAATGGACTGACTAACTCGTAGGGCTCGAATTGGTGTGAAAGGGGAGAGGCATCGCGATTGTCATATTTAGGTGTAGATTGCTCCTCTTCGTCTTGAAAGTCTTGCTTTTCCCCGTGGGAATATTCTTCATCTCTTTCGCGGTAGGGACTTTTCCCTATGGCGATGCGAATATCAATGATACGGATGATTAGGACAGCTGCGTGGATAAGAATGATCACTTTGATGAGTCTTACTATGGAAATGCGTTGGCGAAACAAGTTACTGAAGTCAGACCATAATGTTGGTTCGTTGGCTAGGTTCTGTTGCCTTGAGGTCTGACGTTGTGGTAATTTGGTTTCTTCGGGAAAGACGGGAAAGGAAACCCTTTTTCGTGGGCTGGAGGTTATGACTTTGAAGGTTCGTTGGGTGCTTGGCTGCGAAGTTTGGGGGGATTGGGGGGATTGGGGGGATTGGGGGGGTGTGAAGAAGGTTAGGCGACGAGGGGGAGAACTATCGCTGCTGGTCGTAGACATGGTATTTGAGAGTCTGTTCAACTGTAAAAATTACAGAATTGGTTAATAACTTGCGATGGGATTGAAGTATAGAGAATTTTTGGCTTTAAGAGAATGTGAAGGTCTTTATGTTGTTTTCTTTTCCGGATTGGGGGATCCGGCGATACCTCTTTAAGCGATTTCATTGGTTTATAGCAACTTGACAAAGGTTCAGATTTACTATTTGATATCAGCAATACTTTGGCTTTAGTGTTAGGGTAACTTCAAAAATCCTTTGTTTCTATTATTCGTTGAATAGTAACTTCATGTAGGGGCAACAAAGATAGATAGCTTGTTTTCTCCTATTCAACTAGCCAACTGCCATAATGAGACAAAGGAAAGAGTTGGGATCTACCGTGTAGGGCGACCGCAGTAAGGAAAAAAATCATCTCACAGAAATTTCGAAAACTTTCGAAAACCACAACGCCGCAAGCCATGTTGCGAAACGACCCCCGCCAAAGTCGCAATGTTCCTAAATATGGCGCCTGGTCAGAAAACCCCCAAATATCAGGGCTCACACCCCTCGCTCCTCTTTTTCCAAAAACACATATGGATCCTACAGAAATCGCTCTCCGGAATAGGATTGAAGATTTTCAGCGAGAGCAATTTGATGGATTTACCTCTCGAGAATTGGCGGATATGGATGTTATCACTGACAGACAATTGAAAGAGTCAACTTTAAACAATCCCATCATGCCGCTATTTCAACAGCAGAGATGGGAGATACAACCCCATCAGCCGGATTTGACGAGAGATCATATGTATCCGTTGATCATTGATGGGGTGCAGAGGGGTGATTGGTCAATGCATAATCCGTTGGTGTATGAGAAGTTGAAACCGGTTTTGCAATTGGCGAGTAGGACTATAACGAGCATGTATACATTACCGTGGGTAGGAACTGATCTGCTGAGGAGAATCTGATATTTATTGTAAAGGGCTGATTTAGGATAGTTCGCAGCTCTGATATTCGGTGAAAGAGTTCCTATCGATCCAGCGAGGATTCGTCCAAGAGATGAAGTGCCAGATAATTTGGTTTCCTTTCTTCCATACAATATCACAGATTACAATCTCGTTCGAAAGAGAATGGAAGAAGTTTTTGAAGATTTAGAAAAAAACTGGAATTGCAAATTCGGCTTCATGTCACCGGATGAAGATCCTCGCGGTCCTGAATATCCTATCGATCCGGAAGATACGCTTCCAGATAGTGTGTATGGACTTACCGTCACAAATTATCAATACATGGAATACCACGAAGCGGAAAATAAGGAATGGCAGATTTATGTATGGCTTGCTTATTCCAGGTTACAGTCATTGTTTAGAGATGATTTGAGTACTTCGGAGAGGAAGATGGTGGAGTGGGCAACGGCTATTACCCTTGTGCATGAGATTGTTCATGCGATCAATTTTGTTTGTCCCAGGATTGATGGGACGAGAGTGCAGAATCCGGATGATGAGAATCCGCCGTGGTTTTTTGATGAGGAACCGTTGGCGGAGGCGGGGTTTAGTTTTGAGGTTGCTGTGAGTTTTTCCCTTTTCGAATTTTGGATCTCGGAGACTCATCATGGGGCTATAGTTAAATGGCGGAACGGTCCGTTCTTTTACATCGGTGAGAGGAATGCCATATGGGCATTGGTTTGAGACGATATGGCCATCAGTAGAAAGTCAAGATCTCTGTGGATCGAAAAGTATTACATTGATGAACCCCGGCCCTTTCGATTACCAGGAAAAATTCCCCATCCCAGCTTCTTTTTATGAAGACATGCAGCAAAGAGAATTCTGGGATTATATGGTCCATAGATTCGGACACAAATTATTTCACTACCGATCTATCAATCATGGCGTTCGTCTAAATTTCGACATCTATACAAAAAATAGAACGCCGATAAAATTTAGAGATATATCAACTATACGTATCAGTCCGGTTACTCCTGAACTAGGACATGATAATCAAATCCTCAGAGAAAAATGGGAACGTGTGCAGGCGATACTCGGTGCGCAAAGCGAACCCGAAGAGATAAAAATTGCTCAAAGTTTCGGCTTGTCTCTATTGCAAAGTTCTAAAATCGAGAATTCGTTCTGGACACACGAAGAGGGGCAACGGAGAGGTGTCGCTGCTATATTTGAACATCTCCAGAAAGAGAATATTTCGGAAGTAGAAAGACTCTCTGATTTTACACACTTGATTGGATTTCTGTGGACGATCGTCCAGAATCACAAAAAGAAAATCGACGCTCTCTTGAAATCCGGACAAGTGGATATACCACAACTCCAAATACCCTCGGAAGAACGTCGAAGAGTATTACTCGCATGGAATAGAGGAACATCTATTTTTGTACGTGAATGTTCTGAACAAATTCCCGACGCACTAGAAAATCACAAATACGAAGTCACGACTCTGGGACTGAGTCTCGAAATTCTGCGCTTGCAACTTTTTTCCCCGAATCTGCAAACTGAAAATATTAAATCCGGACCTGATTTTATGGAATTGGCATTTTTGCTTCGTCTGCAGGATTCGTATGTCAAAGGTGATAGGGTTTCGTGTCGGGATTCTGTGAAGAGCATTAGGGAGATTGAGGGATGTTCGCTTTTTGCATTTTTGTGTACGTTGTGGATAGATACGGTGATTTATGAGGGGTCAGAGACGGATTTGGAGAGGATTAAGAGTTTGAAGGGGTTTGAGAGTATGGGGATTTATTGGAAGGAGTTGTGGGATAAGAATAGTGGGGGGGAGTGGGAGGGGATGTTTAGGATTTGGGAGGGGGTGAGGGGGGAGGCGGAGATGAGGTTGAGGAGTACGCATCATATGTAGGGGATTGGGTTGTATGAGGGTGTTTGGTGGTATTTGTTGGATGGTTCAGTCTAGATAATTTCTATGTGAAAGATTTAGTGAATATTAGAAACTTTGGCTGCAATGAAATGTTCATTTCATGTCGTATGAATCGTGAGGATGTTTTTTATATAGACGGACTACATGCTTCCATGCAATTCATCATGAACAAACCTCAACATCACTTCATAACTCGAGCGAATACGAATCCTTTCCCTGACTTTATCACATTACATCAACTAAATCCAACCACTAACTAACCTCACGATAAGAAACCATGTAAACTCTTCATCCATTCTCTGAGACCGTCTCCCCTCATATCACACAATTGCAAATATCCGAATCCTCCCAAAAAATCTTCACGATGTAACATGGAATCAATATCTCATATCCTCCTATATCACTGATTGTAGGAGATACCCTGGGTATTTATATTCATTCAGTTAACTTGAACGATATGATGATTTTGATAGCTGAATTCTATTTGAATAATCGAGAATTTCTTATTATTTGATTTGATTTTATGATATAGGATGGATTTACATAATGAAGTGTTTTGAATATCTGAGATTAATTTGAACAATATAATGATTTCAATACTTGAATTTTATTTGAATAATTAAGAGTAGCTTATTCTCTAACTTCAGTTGATATTATAAGAGGGACTTATAGAATAAAGTATTCTCAATATCTGAGATTGATCTGAAGAATTAGGGGTTTTTGGATTTCTCTTTCGGATTTTTGGTACTAGATGTCTTGGATGCTTGAGGATGATTGAGGACAATTAGATATATAGGATAAGTTTAGACAATCAAAGATTCAAATTATTTGATATTGATTTGGAGAATTGAGGATATTTGAATGTTTCTTTTGGATTTGTGATACAAGATTTATTGAATATTCCAGGACAGTTAGATATATGTAAAGAGTCTGAGTGATGAGAGTATCTTAATGACTGGAATTGACTGAAAGAATTATGAGTATCTCATTGTGTGATTTAGTTTGATAATATTAAGTGGGCTAGATATCTTAGGACAGTTGGATAACCGTGATGATGAATTTGAAGAATTAGAACGTTTCGATAGCTGGAATCTAATGGAGAATTCTAAATATCTCATCGTGTCATTTGGCTCGATGGCATGAATTTAATTAGATATATTTAAACATTTGGATATATATAATAAATTGGAATGATAACAGTATCTCAATAGCTGGGATCGTTTTGAGGAATTATGATTATCTCAATGTAGTATTTAGGTTTAGAATATTAAACTTTTTAAATATATTAGGAAGCTTGAATATATGTAATGAGTTCAAATTATGCGAATGTTTTGATAGCTGGAATTGATTTAAAGAATTGATAGCATCTAAATTTATTAATTAGTTACATAGAATCAGATAACGTTATACTGAATACCTTACGATAATTAAATATATCTGACGAATTTGAATCACGAAGATATTTCAGTAGCTAGAATCTATTTAGAAATTGAGAATATCCCAATTTATCACCTAGTTTTACAACATCAAATGTACCAGATACCTCAAAACAATTAAACACATATGTCGAATCTTCGCAATAAATTAATCACAATCTATCAAACAATGTCAAAGAATCAAGATATACCATCATAGTAATAGAGCCTTATCATGAGATGTCTCCCATTGTAGAATTAATGATATGATGCAACATCCCTCGAGATCTAGACACCCCATCAACTTTATCTGTCGCTTAGAGTAAGGGAGCCGAGAAATGATGAACAAACCTTAACTATCAAAGCTAAACAACTTTCTTTCATCAATGCATGAATTATCTTATGCTGATAGTTAGCTTTATGGTACAATGATGGTTTATATGTTGTTTTGGAGTGTCAAATGGTCGAATGTGTGTCTGGAAAGTTGAGAATGGTTGATTTCGTGTCGTTGAGCTCAAGATTCTAAAGAATTCTATTGTATTTCTCTAGTTAGTGCATTTTCGGAATCAAAATAGCATTATGATCATACTTGAAATGTACTATAGAGCAAAATAAAATGTCCATTCTCCTAAAATATAGTATTGAAGCACGATTGCATGAAATTTATGGTCTAAACAAGAAATATTTGTAATAATTTCACTTTCAAACCAAGTCTCACAAGGTTTATTATCAAAATCAAGCGTTTTCTCTCATATATAAACCAATTCAAGCATCAAAACCACCCAAAACTCCCATTCTCACCATCCCACCACCAAAATGAGCGCCAACCACCGCCAACTCGCTCCCAGGGCACAATCAACACTCTACCGCCTCCCCGGCCATCTAAACATCCAAGCCTTACCACTCCCAGCCCATCCAATCTACTACCTCGGTCTCCCCGTCCCTCAATTCGCAACCCTCACCCAATCCAACGCCTGGATCAACCATCCCATCCTCCACCCCAGTTTCGGTCCCCACCCCCTCCCCGACTACCACCCAGCTGTTCCCTACCCAGCCCCACCTGGCATGCAATGGCTAGGCTATATTGCTCCCTCCGCCGGCCGTCATATCCCGATAGATAACCCCGCACACTATATAAATCCATACGATATCAACGGACCGCGTGGATTTCCTCCCCATCTTCCTCCAGCACGTTTTCCTCCTCTCCTCCCTCCCCAGCTCACCCACCAACAACCAGCCAGCCATCTAGCTCCAGCTTTCCGCCCCCATCATCCTCCTCCACACGCTTCTCGCTTCGCGCCCCCTTCTCCTATCGGTTATCTTGGCGGTGGACTCCCAGGCCTCCAAAACAGTCTTCTGAATAGCGGCCATGGTCTAAATGGCCCTCCTATTGCCAATCCAATAGCTAATTTGGCTGTAATGGACTACCATGATGAGAATCATCTGGTGGCGATGGAGAATCAGCAAATCCTGGGACAGATTGAGATTCCGGATCGATCAGAGAGGATGGATGGGTTTTGTGAGGGGACGAGGGGAGAAGTGGAGAGGTTGAGACCTATTTGGGAGAGGGAGAGAGCCAGTGGTGCGGCTTTGAGTGGTTTGGGTCCTATTGGCGCGGTTACTGGTGGTAATGGGGGGGAAATAGGTGCTGGGGAGGTTGGAGATGGTGGAGAGGAGGATGTGGATATTGAGGGGAGTGAAGAGGATAGTTTGAGTGATAGCGATATGGATTACGAAGGATAAAGCATTTTGTGGGGTTTTCTGTGCTTTGAGCACTTTTATATGTACAATGAGATCGTTTTTTTATTATTAGAAGGAAATTAGACTCTAGAAAGGGATTAGACAGCACCAATAGCTTCATTATATACCAAAAACTCTTTTACGCTATTAATAATGGATCCTTGAAGTACTTCCGTGGACAAAAGTATACACAGGAAGAATTTTCCACTCCTCGGTACCGTGAAATAGCGTGGATACCATATCAATACTGGCCACACCAGCCCGTGCCAGCAAGTAAATAGAACGGATAATAAATCTGTAAATTTGATTAGATGCTAAACGGTCTCAAGAAGAGGATTGAACTTACACTTGGCAACCCACTGACAAACGGTACATCCATCCCACCATACTCATCCACTATTGCAGTCCTACAACTCAACACATCCGTCACCATCAATCCAGCTTCAAACCCCACATTCTTCATCTCCACCGTGTAATTTTCTGCACTCTCACCAATATTATTCAGCACCATTAGAGTCATGCATTTCCCATCCCCCTTTCGAAACGCAATATTATGCGGATCTGAGTATGCGATTTGAGTTTGATCAGTCGCATAGGTATCTGAGCGTGCTATTGCCAAAGAAAGTATAGCGTTCAATTGCTTGACTAGAACATAAAGCGGAGAGCTAGTATCGTAACCTGTAGGCCATATCGGTTCACGATCATAAGGATCAGTTGCGCCATGGAGATGTTGTTCTTGTCCTTGATAAATAATTGGAATGCCATCGGCTAACATCGTATATGTGATGATATTTTTAGCCAATGTAAGATCACTAGTATAATTTCCAAAGCGGGGTTGATCATGGTTCTCAGTGAAGGATCCGAGAAGTGTTGTATCTTTACATTGATAGTTTTGAGATAGTAGCTGTCCTATTAAGTTTTCTGATGTTGCGGAGGTGTTGGAAAAGAATTGTGTGAGTTGGAAATACGATGCGTAGGAAAGAAGTCCGTCCATGTGGTCTTGGTAAGGACATAGATAATCTACATCTCCATCTGCCACTTCGCCCATACAATAGATACCGGCTGCTTCATTGAATAAAGGCCAAAATTCTTTTTCCACATGTCTAACAGTGTCCATTATCAGTCCGTCAATTGAGTAATTGGCTACTAGTGACGTGATCCAAGTAGTAAAGAAATCTCGAACATCTTGTCGAGTAGTGTTTAGATCTGGTAATGGATAGTTTTCTGTTCCAAGTTCACATATTTCGACATTCGTCTGATTGTTGTAATCATCAATAAAGCAAACATCATGAAAATATTTGCTGTCGTTGAATGGATTCATGATGCTGAAATCGACATCATGTGCAGTATCATCAGATCCCATGTGGTTCGCCACGACATCAACCATCAAGTACTGCCATCATCAGCTATCTCTTTTAATGCTACTTTTTATCAAATCTTACCATTCCTCGATCATGGAGTGCGGTGGCTAATGTTTTCAAATTCAATGCGTCTCCAAAGTGACTGTTTAAACCATATAAGTTTTGAGCCGAATATCCATGAAAGCCTCGACCTGGATCCGCAACTTGTTCAACAACTGGTGATATCCAAATTGCTGTGAACCCCATACCCTAGTAGATTGTTAGAACCTATAATTTTACTAACATACTGCCGCACTTTTGTTCTCATACCTGGATATAATCGAGCTTGTTAATAATGCCTTGCCACGTCCCACCACAATATCCCCGAGTTTGAGAAGGGCAATCCGTGGTATTCGAAACATCTGTTCTAGCAAATCGATCTGTAAATACTTGATATATTGAACGGATTCTCCATTCATCAGGTGTTGCTGATTGAACGCCGTTCAAAGAAGCGATGCCCAGCAAAGCGCCCAATAACATTTTAGAAGAAACCATATTCCGGCTTTTTTTCTATCGAGAAGATTGAAGAGAACAATGAAGATTCTCGTGGAAAGAATGATTTATTGAACTTCTATTAAATCATTTGCAATTTCACTCTATCTACAGTACAAAAAAACTTATCGTGAAGGTGTACTAGGGACAAATGTGCCCGGTACAGATATCCCGTGGGAAATTAAACCTCACAGGAAACCTCATAGGAAGCAACGTACAACATAATGGGTGACTATGAGCAGCCAATCTAGTAACCTTACGTTGGTAGATTTATGATTAAAGGTACGAGGAAATCCTTTCAGAAGGTTGCACTCTACAACTCTTCCGAATAGGAAGGTTACAGAAACATGGTTGGCGATCCTTCTACGGACGACCCACCTCAAGCGAAGTGGGATCTGTGGAAAACCAACAGACCTGCACAACATAAATTCTCCTTCCGAGTGATTTCGTTGAATTTTGTCTTAAGCATAGGCACCTATGCTCAAATACTGGTGTCAGGAAGCAATCGGTCGGATGCGGATTGAATGTTGCGGATGTCACATATGTAGTATCGTAGTTCGATTGCGTATCCCGGGCTAGGAACGGGAAGAAGCAGGAGCGGGAAAGGATTGTACAATTTGTTTCAGACAAGATTTCGATAATTGAGAATTATTTTCTATCCTATATATGCATCCTGAATGTCATACGTATACATTGTGAAATATCACAAAGTAATGGAAATCTGATACATCGTCACGTATCAGGGAATAAAAACTCTCTTCAAGGTCCCTACTTACTGTGAACTGTCGACAAAATATAAACAGCCCTATCGGGAAAGACTGTTTATTTTTGTGGTTGTAAGACTTCGGAGACACCCTTTCTTGTTTCTTGAATGATCTTCTCGGCTGGCATTACGCTTTTAATTAACCCAACCCCAGTACCAGAATATGCAACCATCCTGCCATGTGAGCCCCACGCCTCATCACCATCTCTTAACTCTTGCTTATATAGATGAACGTTTTCTTCGTCTGTCATTCCAACTTTCTCGTCTTCATGACCTTTATTGAGTAAAGCACGACCATCATATTGTGCGGGCCATCCCACTGTTGTCTTCAACCGGTCGCATAAAGTAGACCTTCCGGTACTGACACCACCATCTACCGCTTTCAACAGCTCCCTTTGCCAACCTTGAGGGATACCTGCTTCTTCGGCCGCCAAAAATCTGGTACCCATCACAGCTCCTGTCGCTCCCAAACACATTGCAGCAGCAACACCTCGTCCATCCATAATTCCGCCAGCTGCAAGCAGTGGTATGGGGTTTACTTCCGATTTTCTATCTTCAAGTGCATCCGCAACTTCTGGAAGCAACGAAATAATACTAGCTGATCGAGCTAGACCATGGCCACCAGCATCGGAACCTTGAATCACCAAGACATCAGGTCTCGCTGTGTCCACAACATCCAAGGCTTCCTTGACAGTTCCAACTTGTACCCAAATTGAAACTTTCCCATCACTTACAGATCTAAGCTCTTGAGCCCATTCTCTCAAATCTTCCGTTCTTTTCGGTGCGTAAAGCCATACTGCTGAAGGTTTATGTTGCTTTGTAGCCTCAACAGCGACGTTAATTTTACAACTCCAGTTCTGGAAGCCAATCCCAATAGGAAGACGATTAAATATCTCGAGTTGTGACGGTTTTCGACTGGCAGTATTAAACAATAATCTCGTCACGGTAAGTTTTTGATGAAGATCCGCTCCATCGTGACCCCCTGCAAGAAATCCTATACCACCCGCCAGACTCACATTTGTCGCGAGAGCAGGCGTGGCAGCACCCAACATTGGCGCTGACACAATCAGTGGATACTTAATCCATGGAAAAGCCTCTAGCATATATCGCCTAGCTATTTGTAGAGATATTGAAGACATTTCGATATTCCAAGTGTCGCGCAGTTTGTTGTTGCTTTAGACTTTCCCTTTCTATAACATCATGGACAATTTGTGTTTGAGTCGAGGTTGAAGTTTCGGACGATGATTAACAGTAGAATCACAACTCCCAGTGTGCTTTGTTATGATCTGAAAAGAAAGATAATTCAGTCTCATGAATCCAATCAGACTCTTCTGGCGGCGCTTCAATAAATCTGAGAAGCATACCCAGGTATAGGTTGGTACTCATCCATGCTTACTAATGTGACCAAAGGATCGGACTCGGGGATGTCGCGGGGATGTCACGGGCTGTGAGAGATACCCGCAGTTCAGTAGGTTATTCAAATCTTCAACCCATTTTTCCGAAGTCACCCGGTGCCCCGTTGCGTTTATAAACATTGATAACGTCCCGAAAAGTTAAGATGGACATCTCCCCGGAGATGCTTCAACCCCTGGTGGAGATCGTACATAAAGGATCAGGATACAACCTTTTCATGTCAGCGGTATCCCTCACTCTGCTCCCAGAACATGCCATTGTTTGTCGTGATAAACCAATTGCGGGCGAGGTATATGTGTGATGACAATGCAATACGATGAAATCAGGTCAGAAAATTTCATGGTCACGACAGGGGAGGTCTACGAACAGCGGTTTGTAATCATAGTGCTAGAGGTGGGATTTATACTTAAGGATTATTGGCCCATTTTGTCCAGAATGTTTGGATGTCTGGAATCATCGATACTGGAACACAATAACACAACAAGACAGTCTACTAGATAATCAAAATCTTAGGATGTCACTCACACCTCAACAAATCGACATCGTCAAGGCCACAGTGCCTGTGGTCCAAGAGTACGGAACTACCATCACTACCACCTTTTACAAAAACGTTCTCGATGCGAATCCATCACTAAACAACATCTTCAACCAAACCAACCAAAAGAACGGAGCTCAACCACGTGCTCTATCAGGTGCTCTCGCGGCTTATGCGGCCAATATCGATAGCCTCGCTGTACTTTCAGATGCCGTAGAAAGAATATGTCAAAAACATGCCTCATTGTTCATCCAACCAGAACACTATCCCATTGTTGGAAAATACCTCCTGGAGGCCATGGGCCAAGTACTCGGCTCAGCCTTGACGCCAGAAATCCTAGACGCGTGGACGGCTGCCTACAATCAATTGGCCCAGATCATGATTGATAGAGAAGCGCAATTATATCGAGAAGCTGGCGAGTGGAAAGAATGGAGAGACTTCAAGATCGCCAGGAAAGTCAAAGAATCTAGTGTTATCACCTCTTTCTACCTAGAACCCGTGGATGGGAAACCCCTCCCTCTTTTCAAACCGGGCCAGTATATCTCAGTTCAGGTCCATATACCAGACTTCGGATATCTGCAGTCCAGACAATACTCATTGAGTGATCGCCCAAATGAGAAATACTACCGTATTAGTGTGAAACGAGAGGATGCTATTGTTCTACCAGCAGTCAATACAACAGTTGAAGCAGGTGTGATTTCAAATACTCTCCACGATGCCAAGCACGAGGGTGATATAATTCAAGTATCTCCACCCCAGGGAGAATTCTTCCTCGATCTCCAAAAGAATGTCGATTCTCCCGTAGTATTGATTTCCGCCGGAGTTGGCCTCACACCCATGGTATCCATCCTCAACACTTTGGTCGAAAGAGGAAGCACGCGTCCAATATCATATATCCACGCAGCACGCAGCAAAGAAGTCGATGCATTCCATGACCATGTCCAAGAAATCGCTTCATCGCATTCGCATATCAAATCCTGGGTTTTTGTGAAGAATCTTCCAGCTGATGATTATGGACATCCACTCAAGGATCTAGTGGGGCGAATGGACTTATCGAAGGTTAGGGATGATGCGTTGCATTTGGATGATTCTTCGACGGTGTATTTTATTTGTGGTCCGGGGGGGTTTATGAATGATATGAGTAAGACTTTGCGGACGTTTGGAGTGAGTGAAGATAGAATTAAGTTGGAGATTTTTGGGACGGGGGACGCCCAGTGAGGGGGAATAGTCGTAATGGATGATGTATGGAGGATGGAAAGTGTATATAGAAGATCCTCGGAATTTTGAACTTCACTAGTATTTACGATACCAACAAACGAATTCTTGTAGACATGTAGCCAATTATTCCAATGATTTCATTGCTCAATTCTGGGAACTTATGAAATATCGTAATCTTCGTCTATGATGATTGAGATCTGCGATATATATCATTTGATAGGTTCACAGTTTCGGAGTTTTGTGGAGGCAGATTTTCCAATCCTTATATAAGACACGGTGAGGAAAGTCCTCACATTGAAGCAATAAGCTTCAGTGTAGTTGATCTCCATTCAGACAAGCTAATGAATTTTAAGGATCTACTACAATAGGTTATTTAAGGTTTCACTGTGGTAGGTATCAAAGTCTCACTGCAATACACATATACTTATATAGAGTTCAAGACCAGTGGAGTATACTGTCATTAGGGCTGTTTATATATATACTTTGATTGATTGAGCGTTTATAAGGGTATATATTGAGAATCAATGTAAAAGGCAGATAGACCAATCCAATATATAATCTTGATCTCTAAACTCAAAAATTCCACATCCCTTCACGCGTACAAGAATGATATTTTCCGCGCAAAAAATATTCATCCCACTCCCCTAACTCCCCGCACTACCCAAACGCGCATCACCCGAGCCAAAGACGTGCGGACTTTTTGAGGGAGAAGATTAGCAATAAGCTGGAATTTCTGATATGTTAGTAATGAGGTTCCATATTCGAGAAAGAATTAGATTTTAAGTCAATCGCAGAGTATACAAAGATTTTTCCCAGGACTTACCGTGGTGCAGAAACACACATTGTAAGATACCGCTGTTAATGACCTCGAGTTTTATATCACTATCCACAGCTATATATCTGATGATAAGTATCTGGTACAAATGACCATGAATAACAAACGCAGGTTGCTCAATTCTCAAACACCAGTACGGATAACGAATCGCGTTCTCAAGCTTCAACTCCCAATTCAACAAATGCTGGCCCTCCTCCAGATGGCGGGCTCACAGCTTGGCGGTCCTCACGCATCTTGTCTTTTTCAATAGTTGGGCATTCGCGAAAAGCTATGGGATTTTTCAAGAATATTATACCGTCAGTCTAGCTCAGACTTCTTCATCTATTGCTTGGATTGGTAGTGTTCAGGTATTTCTGCTTTTGTTTGTTGGAGTGATAGGAGGTCGAGCATTGGATGCTGGTCATTTCCATCTGGTGTTTAGAATTGGTGTGCTCCTGCAATTACTGGGTGTCTTTATGACATCTTTGTGCAAGAATTACTGGCAAGCATTTCTTGCTCATGCGGTCTGTGTTGGTTTAGAGAATGGATTGTCGTTTTGTCCTGCTGTGTCGGTTTGGTCGACTTACTTCAACAATAACAGAGCGTTGGCTGTGGGCCTCGCAGCGACGGGGGAAGCAAGTGAAGGTTTGGTGTATCAGGCTGCTGTGCATGTATTGATTGGAAAAGTTGGATTCGCGTGGACGTTGAGAATCGTAGGGTTTATTATGTTGACAGCTCGTATCCCTTCAATATTCCTCTTTAAGCCAAGATTACCTCCTTATAAAGCAGGTTCTCTGGTAGAGTGGGCAGCATTCAAAGAACCTGCATATACTTTCTTTACCATTGGGATGTTCCTCAACTACTGGGGAGTGTATTTCACATTTTTCTATCTGGGAACATTCGCTCGCGGCCGCTTGGACGCTACGACCTAAATTTCTGTCAATCTCTTGATGATTCTGAACGGAATTGGAATCTTTGGACGCATTATCCCAAATCTCATTGGAGATCGGATCACTGGACCCTTCAACATTCTCGCCCCATTCAGTTTTGCAGCGCGCATTTTAGTTTATTGCTGGGCGTCTATTGATTCCATAAGTGGAATGTATCCGTTTGCTATCATATATGGATTTATTGCAGCTGCCTTGTAGGCGCTTCTTCCGGCCACTGCTACAACTTTGACAACGGATCCTCAAAAAACGGGAGTGAGGTTGGGTATGATTTTCAGTGTGGTTAGTTTTGCGTTTTTGACTGATCCACCGATTTCTGGTGCGTTGATTCAGGCTGGAGGGGGACGTTATCTTTTTGTGCAAATCTTCGCGGGAACATCGATTGCCCTTAGTACATTGTGTCTTGTAGCTTCGAGGGTACCGAAGTCTAGATGGAACTAGGTTAAGGTCTAGGTCTCCTATGGTGAATGAATGAGATCTAGCATAATAAATCGAGACTAGTTCCAAAATAGCAAATAAGATTTCTATAAGGCAAGAAAGTGTTAGGATAGGATTATTTAGAAGACTGTTTTACCTAAATAGTTGCTTAATTGTGAGATTTTTTCGAAGTAATGTTTGAAGCGAAGCTTTGATGAATGCCGAGGATTAACCATTGACAGCATCGAATTACGTAATGCACATGCAGCAAATCGACTCCACCATAGCTCTGCCATGTCAGAGCATCAAATGGGTCTCATAAGATGTGATGATTTGAAAAGATAAGTAAAATTTCTTACATTCAAGCTCAGCTATTTGTTCTCTTTGTTGGGAAAACTTCTCTAAATCATGACAGACTCACCATTGAAACGTAAACGCTCTCGAATAGCCTGCGAACCTTGTCGTGACCGCAAAAGACGATGCGACGGCGGTCAACCATGTGATTCTTGTATGCGATTCGAATACGAGTGTCACTACAAAAACTATTCCGGACATAGCAAGAAAGCTAGACATAACCATGAGCAATCCTCATTGTCAGCTCCCACAAAAGCAGAATCCTTACCTCCTCCATCGTTAGAAGCGAATTCCGGTGCAACCTTTGCCAGGCAATTGGCGTTGAAAATTGATCCCCAGAATGCACCGAAATTGAATTTGTTTTCCTGGAATATTGGAGAGAGATATGTTAATACCAGGTCTAAACGGGTTTCGACATTATCAACGGAGGACATATCGAGCACAGGTATCGTGGATGAATTATCTACGTTCTATTTTGAAAAGGTGGACATTTGTTACAACTTCATCGATCGGGCAAAATTCTTTCAAAGATGGAAGGTTCGACAACTTGTCAAGAATGAAAGAAAACCATTCGATGCAATCTTGTTTGGAGTGACTGCACTTGGAAGTCTGTTTTCTAACCGGGTTGCACCTTTCATAGAACTGCAGCTTGTTGAATCTGCGCGGTCAATTCTAGATGAGTATTCTGGAGAAACACCAACAACAGAAACAATCATCGGACAAATTCTTAGAGTTGTTTATTTGCGTATGACGGCATCACCTCATGTTGCATGGATGTCTAGCTGTACGTTGATGCATATGATTGAAGCAGTAGGCCTTCATCTCCCGACTACCATGAATGATCTTTCGGTACTCCCAGTAGTCGACAGCAATTCAGAGTTACGATGGAGATTATTGGGTGTGGCCCAGCATCTAAATACATGGATCTCCTTTGATCTTGGCCGGTCTAGGATTGTGCTTCAAGGAGGAGTGCCTTCAGTCCTCCCATATTTGAATCACCAAGATTCAACGAAAGAGCTTCTTAGCTTATTACCCATGTCCGAAGCTTTGGATCCAAGCAACCAACAAAATGCAACAAATCTCGAGTCTGCATTCGTTCAAGTCTTGGATAGCAGCCATATACAGCCTCCATCAGTAATGGCTCAATGTAATCTTATGCTTTGCATCTACCGCCGTCTTCGCGCTTTAAATCTCACCCTCTCTCCGGAACTCTTAGACCGAGCTCTGACACTAATGAGTAAAGCCTTACGTTGTGCCCGAGATATGGTCCGAACAAACTGTCCCTGGCATCACATGGCTAACGTACCCTTCCAAATAATTTGCACGCTCCTCGCAATCGACAACCGAAGTTCATTATCGAGATTAGGGGATGCAATGAAGACTCTTGGGGAAGTATCAACCGCATACGATACGAGTGTCATGAGAGAAGCATACAAAACTGCACGATTACTAGTCTTTCTTTCTCAAAAAAGAAAAGAAGATGATGCGAAGATGCTTACTGAAGTCATGAAGGCTGATCCACTACCACTTGTTGATCCTGCAATGGATAGAAGTAGTAGTCAAACGCTGCAGGATATTGGATATGGTGATTCGTGGTTGGAATCACTCCTTGCGGATATACCTGGATTAGAAGATATTGAAGCACAGTTTTCAATGTCTAATATGCCATGGACGTTCCAAGGTTCAAATGCTTAAGGATAGTACTAGAGGAGAAGATCTTGCCGTAGTTATAGATAAAAAGGGCAAATCAACAGACAAAGAGTTTTCGAACCATCAAACAATCCAAGAGGCAGGAACATGGGAAATAGCATCAATAGTTGAGAATCATATCAGAACATCAATAAAAGCCCATGCTCGCCCATCTTCTGGTAAAATCACGCAGACTATGCGCCCTAGTTGTCTCCAGAGATTCATCTCCCGTTTCACAAGCCTGATATTCAACATCGCCTGTCGAAATATTCTCCCATTCAACAAACCTTTGTGCGTAGGACTATTTTTCCATGTATCATTTTCCACGGGCTCGTTTAATTCAAACTCGGCAAATATAGTCATCCTTTCACGGAAACATATTCCAGTCTCTATTAGAATCTTTCTTCGCTAAGCCTCCACACAAAAAACTATCAGTACCCCTCACACCCCGCATCTCTCAATTCCCTCCTCCCTTTTATATTTATACTCTTTTTCGATCATTAACTCTCTTGTTTTCTTCTCTATCCCCAAAACCTCTTTCCCATACCCCCCATCTCCATTTCCACATCCACCAAACAAGCTCCCCTCATTCCCCCCACCTAACCCCGCACCTCTAAGCACTCGCTCCCTCCTCCTCCCCCTCTCATATATACTCGACGCGCGACGAATGAGCGGTTGTTTTCGTCTGTGAGAACGGCGATGAGAGTAGAAAATTAGGGTTATGAGGAGGGAAATGGAGATGAGGAGGAGAAGGGGAGGAGAAGATGAGTGGGAGAAGTATGAGTGTGGGGGGTTTTAGATCGGGGGTTGGATTTGGATGGGGAGTAAAAGTTGGGGGCAGGATTGGAGTGGCGTGGGTGCGGACCTGGGGGCGGTTAGTTCTTTTGGTCTAAGTTTGCCTCAACTTGTACTTCAAGGCTCAAGGTTGAATTGAAGAAAAAAATAAGTCGATGACTCAAAGACTAGTACTCTCCGCTGAATATTGGAGATATACCTGTTCACCACAGGAAGGAAGATAAACGGAATTCAACAACTCACCGAAAAATCCCCTCCCAGCACCTTCTCCCTTTCGCAACACATTAACTCTCCATCCCACACTATCCAGTAATCCCAATTCCTCTCGATCCCCTTTCTCTACTTTATCACCCATTCTTACAGACGCATTAATACCCGCATCCAACACACCCTCTTCAATCCTCCTATGATACGCATCCCACACCTCCCCAAAAGATTCTCTCTTACCCATTCTCAACTTCTCTCCTTTTTCCAATTTCCCCATCAAACTTAATTCTCCTCTTCCTCTATCCTTCTCCCGTTCTCCTGCGCCGTCAATCCCCGGCGCATTATACCCCATCAACACATCCACCAACTCGACTATAAACCCATGATTCCTCTGCGCTCCCATGATACGCGTTGAGATTATTCCTTCCCCATCCCCATCCTCATCCCCAACAACAAACAACCCCAATCCCAAAAATGGATCCAAACCCTCAGACAAATCGTATCCACATCCAACACCACTCCTCCATAATTCCGCAGCACCAAATATTTCACCGCTTCGACGCGTTGGGTATTAGAAGGATAGGATATGTATGTTTTGAGGAAGGAGGGGTAGTGGGTTTTTATAAATGCGAGGGAGGTTGTGGAAGTCCAGAGCTGTGTGTGGGTATTTAATCAGTTTTACTTTTTTGGACCCTGGACCGTGAGAAAGGGGGAGATGGAGATGGAGATGGAAAAAGATAGTACAGGAATAGAAGAGAGATAAATACGCACAATATATCCCCACCCACTCTGTTCATTAACACCCCTACACTTCCGTCTCCTCTCTTCCCATTCGTAGGGAATTTCTCCATCGTCTCCAGTGATCTCCCATCCCTGTTTATCTTCTGCGATATGGATGTTTTTCTTCCTCATACTCATACCGATATCATAACTCCTTTCTGAATTTCGTTCTCCCAATTTCCCATCACTACGTTTCTCATTATTACATCTCTCAACTCTCCTCCCAAATCCTCCTTCCCAATTATGCCACACCTGATGAATAACCTTTTCTCCTCCTCCTCTCCCTTCCTTACTAAATTTCCCTCCCTTTCCTCGACCCCCCAAAACATCATCTCCTAATAATCCCCTCAGCGCAAGATATTCGCCCTCTTTAATTTTTGCCCGTAGCTGAATTACATCTTGCTGAGTGATGAGTTTTCCTTCTTTAGTGATGTATTTCCCTTTTTTAGATGGGGAAGAGGAAGGGGAGGTAGAAATAGATAGGGGATTTAAATTGAGATTGAAATTTAAAGAGTGGGGATATGTGAAATGGAAGAGGAGGATGAGGGAAAGGAGGAGTAGAAAGAGAAAGATGAGGATGCGGTGGTGGTGGAGGGATATCATTATGGTGAGGTTCGGGGCGGATAGAAGTTGATTGTTTTTCTTTAGAGTGGTGATTATGGGAGGGGATGTTTTGAATGATTGTTTAGGTGAAGACTGGGATAAGGAAGATGGAGAGAAAGGAGGAGAAAATTCGATAGTGGTAAATTTGAGGAATGTGTAAGGTGTTGTGGGGAGAAAACGAATTCCGTAGCTGGAATGATGGGATTTGAGATTTGCCCTCGCGAGATATTGATGAAGGCGGAAGATTCGATTGTGAAAATAAACTGCAAATCTTTGCCGAAATGGTCTAATAAAGATATGATTTTAAAAGATCATTGAATTATAGGTGTTGAGTGGATAGCAAGTGGGAAAATATCACATTCATAGAACCAATGCAGTAAGAGAAAACAAGTAATAATTAAAATCCAAGCGTACAATTGTATCTCGTCTTGAACCAAATTGAATGCTATATATACACAAGAATGAATCGCTCACTCGCTGACTCCTTTTGCTTTTATCAAGAATACATACATATACCAAAAAATTGAGTGCAGATCCACATCGATCACCCAACCCAAATAACCAAACATCATCTAAACAGGGTTTTGGTGGGAAAAGTATTTGGTAATAGCAGCGACTTGATCTGCGCTACCAATAGAACCTCTCTAAATCCATCACCAACTTCTAAAGTCACCATGTCGGTCTCCGAATTGACGTTCCATTGTGGGAAGGTTCCGTTTCCTCTGTATGAACCTCCGTTGTTGGGGTTCAAGCAGTCTTCGCTAACAGTGCCATCAGTTATAGATGGGTTACCTGGTCCGCAACTATAACCCATCTTGTTGGCTTGAAGAGTGGTATTCCAAGGGGTTGCATTCTTTGGAGGTGTACATCTATTGTCGCCAGAGGTATCGGCACCATATGGAATACCATTCCATACTGTGATATCTTCCTAGTTCGAGATGTTGCCATTTGGGGAAGAGTTAAAGGCAGGAATACCTTGAACAGGTCCGTAGTTGGTTTGAATCACTTGATTGTACAGTTTTGCATGCTCCATATAATTTCAGAGTCCGGGATGACGTTTAGATGCGGTATCGAGCCGGGCCACCTAGTTCATTCAGTAAAAGCGGGTTGCATCAGAATACCAGTCGTCTTAGACCTTCCGTGCATTGGATTACAGAACATACATTGAACTTACAAAGAAGGCTCCAATTCAACTACATATCCACATACCTGTTTTACTCAAGTTGGTCAGCGAGCCAATGATCAGAAATTTTTCTTGACAAATCAACAAGTCCTGTGACTTCTTCTTCTTACGAACAATCGTTCTTACGCAGACATATGGTAATGATATGCGTATTGCGCAAAATCTGTTCCCCGATAGTTCGGAGATTTCGGAGATTTTCTCTCTGGTCTCGGCACTTCTTTTGGGAGCGAAAGAAGGCATGCTTGATCCGAAATAGGCTATTGACGTATCTGCAACGTACAAGTAGTGTACACGTAGACAAACGCGCACCATGTATATTCAATGTTCTTGGCATCCAAACTCTTTCATATCGATGCTCGACAGGAGATTTGAGCAACCAGGCAGAACCGAAGCCGAGGTCAAGCAGTTAAGAATGCCGTACATGTTGAGCAGGGATTCATCAGGTATAATGTTCACATAGAGATGATTTCAACAGAGAGTATTTATACTCTATAGCCTACTATAAATGTCTTTAGTACGATCCTTAATACCTCCTTGATACCAGAAACGCAAACACCTGTTCAACGCTCTTGGTTCGGAAGGTATTTTCATGGGTAAATCACGTGAATGTGTTTGAGTATGATTAAGTAATCGCTTCGCATGCGGACTTGCATGGCTTCAAGAAAGCAAAATGAAGACTTCCTTTCTTATCTAGACACCTATATTGACTACTTGTCATGGAGATATGAGAGCGAAATCAACTCAACTTCTCAAATTCTCAAATATAAATATTCAGAAAATACTTTTCATTCATCAATTCAATATGCAAAGAGAATTAGTCTAGTGCGGATTAGCTCTCAACACGTCTCAGACTTTGGACGGTAGAATTATGTTCCATTTTCACTAAACTCGAGTTCGCAGAGACGTTTTGATGTTTCAATGAAATGATCTGATATTATCAGCTGTAATGCATCACAAACGATATCATGTAAGGAAACTTGAGATGGAATACTTCAGACAATATTTCATGTCTCAGGATCAACTGATGATTACACTCATCCCCATGGATATTCTCAAAACCAATAAACAGGAACATTCGAGAATTAATAAGAACCTAAAAGTTCGATGAAAAATTATCGGGTATCTTTGGTGCATAAACCGTAAATCACAGAACCCAAACACCAGCCTACATCTTCATCGATGTCCCATCTCCGTATTTCTGTCCCGCCTTAAATCCACTTTGATATTTGGAAACATCGCGTATCCTCATATTCCTTACGCTCCAATTCCCCAGTCTTCTGAAATATTACTTTTCGCTCTCTTCTTTCAATTCCTCCCGAACAATTTTGTCTTTTACATCTTCTCCGTCCAGAGTGTGCGTAATATCTGTGACTACAAGTTCACCATTTTCTCCCCAGCCCGAATTACTTCGACTTAATCTTCCGGTGGAGCCTGTAAGATCGCGTGGACTAGCTAGTGGGCTTCCTGGAGCAGCCATACCACCGATACTTCCAGAGATGCTGTCTGTTCTGCCATGACCTAATAATCCACTTTTCACACTTCCGCCATCATTTGCCAAAGATTGTTTGTTGGCGTAATAACTGTTCCTTTCACTTGGTAAAGCTGGAGCCACGCCTGTCGAGGAGTAAATGCTAGCTCTCTCATTTGCGATCGGGCGTGATTGATATAGACCAGTTGGAGATGTGATGGTAGAACCGTCAATTGTAGCACTCAAAACACTCAATGGTAGACTTTCGCGACTGCCACCAAATACCGAAGATGGCGCCAAAGCACGAACAGATGCATCAGTATCCATAGATCGCCTGCGTCTGCGTTTAGAAGATGAAGCCAAAGTCAAGATAGATGCGTTATCTGTGAGGAGATTGTTTGCTGTAGCTGTATTGTATGTTGCAGGGTGACCTCCACTACCTTGTGGGGCCAAATGTGCGGGTAAGGCTGTGGCTGGTGGGGAGGTTGGGAACTGATGTGTGAATTGAATACCCTGTGTATTATTCGAGGCATGATTGTGCGAAACTGTCATGCCGGGAGCTCCAGCTGAATGAATCGTTGTGAGAGTTGTGGTCAAAGATCTGACAGATGGTGCCGGAGAAGAAAATGTACTATCAGCACCTCTACCAGTGCTAACCCCGCATCCAATTGTAGCATTTGTAGCTTCGCCTGAAGATGGCGCATGCGATGCTGCGATGTCTGATCTTGCAATATCGTGTTCCTCACCCATTGTGGGAGCTACAGATTTGGTTCCAATTGTTGGCGGTGGATGTCCATCCTCAGAATATTGAGTTGATCTCCGACTTCTTTCCAACGATGACGTGCTGACTGAGTTGCCAGTTGGTACGGTTGAGAATGACAAATGTCGATCGCGAGAGGCAGGCGTTGGTGCAGTACCATTTATGCGACCAGATTCTGGATATGGGTTGTTATTCTTCGAAGGAGATTGTTTCTTTAGGCTCGCCTTTGTTTGTTGACCATTCCTTTTCGCATTAGTGGTTTGATTGGAATTTGCAGTTGAAGAGCCACTTTTGAAATTAGTGAACTTTTTCATCCATGTTGTAAATGGTCTGCGACGTCCTCCTACTTGTTCAGGACGGTCTAGCATATCGATTAGTTGATGATAATTTGAAAATAAGAGTCAGGCAAAGTGAGAGGATATGTCAATGGACGATCAACTTAAAATATGATCGTGATGAATCAATTATGAGGCTGGGAACGAAAATGGAACAGTAATGTGGCTCATACCATGTTGTTGTGAGTTTGGAGGAGATTGTTGTTGCTGTGCTAACTCCGTGGCCGCCATTGTGCGAAGCTTGAGTGTTTGGCTTGGCTCGAGGCGGTATTATGCGGACAAGATGTAGATCGTGTAGAAAAGACTTGAAGATTGAGAATTGAAGAATGGATGGGAGATATTTGATTGTAGATTCCAGATGATCTGTTTGTTTGGGGGTTGATGTGTTATCTCAGTATTTCGCTTTGCTTTACTTTGCTTTGCCTTGCCTTGCCTTGCCTTGTCCTTTTGCTCTAGGCAGATAAGAAAGAAAGAAGAAGTAAAAGTAATAATAAGAAACCAAAATTATCTTTCAAATAAGGAGAGTGGGAATTCGGATGTGAATTGATACCTTTATCTTGGGCACAATGATAAGAAAGAAACAAGAAGTTCGGACGACGATGATGATTTGGTTTGAATGGAAATTCGCTGCTTCATTTTAATGACCATCACTCTAACCAAGCCCAAGGTCTCTTCTCTAGTGCCAAAAACCCTTGGTGCTTGTTTGATCGATCAATCAATTAAGCCAATCAATCGATTGATGCCCAATTACATAAGCTGCAGCCTACCTCTCGGATGATTCACATCTAAACCTCCGACCGTCATAATTACCACGGCGTCTGCATCTTGGCTAGTCTCACTCAGGCTTAGTGTCAGATTGAGGCCTGATCATGTGATGCACAATCGAGCTGCCTCGCTGCCTAACATTGATTTGTCGTCTACTCGAATGGTTCACCATTCTGATGCTTCAAGATCGAAAGTTGCAAGTTTTTCATTTATACTTCACTGGTATATATATGAACAGCTGTGGTTGCCAGCCCCCCATATATGTAAAGGTTTCAACGTGGATGAGTTTCCCTTCCTACGATGAATCTATCTTTACCGTACTAATCATTCACATGATTTTGCTAGATGGCTCTTGCTCATTCTACTCCTTCCTGCAGAGCAATATGATTTCAACCACATGAATCGTGTGTGATATCTACTCTGTTTACTGACCATCCCTACATTAAAAGACCTGCTCATTGCTTTCGTTATGTCTATACAACCATTGCCGTCAGATGTAATTGCACAAATAAAATCCTCTTCAACCATTACCAGCCTTAACGGTGTCATCTTTGAGCTTGTTAAGAATTGTTTGGATGCCGGTTGCTCCAGGATCAATATCGATGTAGATTATAGTCGTGGAAGTTGTACAGTAGAGGACAATGGTCTTGGTATAATACCGTCAGAATTCGGGGTGAACGGAGGCTTGGGAAAGCTCTATCGTATGTTATCACATATCTTTTGATACATCCAGAAATATAACTCACCTATGCCAGATTCCTCGAAGCTCAATGTTTTGAATCCAACTCATGGGGGCTATGGAACCTTTATTGCCTCATTATCTGCTTTATCCTTACTCTCAATTACTTCGCATCATCATCTGCATCACTCGCACAATTCGATAAATATGCATAGATCCTTAATCGTGTCACGTCAGACCCCAGCCCCCGATCAACATCATCTTGCTTCTTTTGAACATGGTACACGTGTTACTGTCCGAAATCTGTTCGGCAGTATGCCAGTACGTGTAAAGCAGAGAGCGATTGCCTCTGGAAACCGGCAGGCAATTGCACAGATGTGGGATGGTTTACGTAAAGACATTGTCTCGCTATTGCTTGCATGGCCAAAAGATATTTCATTTTCTATGAAGGAAAATGGTATGGACCAAAAATTTACCATCCGAAGGTCTCCTGCAACATCTGAATGGCGCCCAGTTGGTAGTGTTGATCTGTTCAATACTTGTAGTATACTTTCCAAAGCGTCGTATATCGCAATTGAGGAAAAGTCGTCTTGGATACCTGTAAGTGGTTCTACGTCAAGCTTGATTGTCAACGGCGCAATTTCTCTGATCCCAAATGCAACCAAACACATCCAGTTTCTAGCATTTGGGATAGAACCTTTGATTTCTCATGACAACTGCAATTTTGTTTATGAAGAAATTAATCGGTGGTTCCTCAACTCTTCGTTCGGAAATCAGGAAGAGGCAGACGAGCTTGATGAAATTGAATTGAAAAGGAGATCAAAAGACCGAAGGTATAAGGGTGATGGATATACCAACAAAGAGCTCAAAGGAGGGAGGAAGAGTGTTGATCGATGGCCTATGTTTTACATCAATGTTCACAAAGTCGATCAACCGGAGCATGCGAGATTGAAAGTTGAGGACGTGTTAGACGAGAAGCGGAATGCTCTGGACAAGATTCTCGAATTTTTACAGGCGATTATTGTAGAGTTCTTGACCAGAAATCATTTTCGGCCGAGACTGGCACGCGGGAATCGCACTAAGAGATTAGAATTGGCCACTTCATCGACAGATTCAGAAATTCTGGAGCAAAGCGAGCCAATGAAGACCAACCAATCTTCTCAAGATACGAACACTTTCTCAACTACGCCGGAGTCGTTCAATGATGGCCACGAAAATCACAGCCAAAAAAGAGCAAAAATAGACACGCTGGGAACGAAAGTAAAGCTTCCTTCTTTTCGTCAGTCGCGTTTTGCGTTTGATTCCCCTTTTGAGTCTTGGTCAAAAATCAAATCAGGGATTGAACAGCCATATAGAAAGTCTACAGATACGACAGAAAGCTTAAGTACAACGCCACAAGTTAGCTCGAAGGCGGAGGTGCGAGCAGCAAAACCTTTGATTTCCAAATCAGGACAATTGACACGATGTCCTTTTGCAGAAATTCAAGCACCAATCTCTAGAGCAACATCGTTCACTGATAAAGTGCAAGAATCAGATGCAAGTGGAGATGAATTGGCTGTATGGGTCAATCCTGTAAACAAGGTCAAATCTTTAGTGAACCAGCGAACGGGCCTTGTCGTATCTGAAAAGAAAGAGGACAAAAAGAACGGGAAACAATGTATTTCCAATTCATCCTCTCGTTTGACTGCGGTCCAAAAATCTCTCACAAGTGATAGGCAACCAATTCCATGGATCGATGACATTCTAGATAGGTGGGAGAACCCAATTTTTGCTCCTGTTGAACCCTCAATACCTCAAGTATCGATTGATGGGTTAGATCTGGAGACACAAGAAGCCATACATGGTCGTCATCAACACTGTTCACAAGTTGAAATCGAGAAGGCATTTAAAGAAACTTCATCAGGACTTCATGGACGCATTTCGAAAGATGCTTTACGAGATGCAGAGATCATCTCACAAGTAGATAAAAAGTTTATTCTAGCCACCCTTCAAAGAAGATCTGTGGCTGGAGAAGATTCAAATTCTCTTCTTGTGATTATCGATCAGCACGCAGCGGACGAGCGAATTCGAATAGAAACTCTTTTGTCTGATTTTCTGATATACCCCACAGTCTCAAATATTCCAGCCTCAGCATCAGTAATCACTACCCCCCTCGAGAAGCCCCTTAGCTTTGACATCTCAACAAAAGATTCTCAACTTTTTCGTATCCACAAGGATCATTTCTCATATTGGGGAATCGTTTATTCTGTCTCGTCAACGGCTGCCACTATCACCGTCCAATATCTTCCACCTTTGATAACAGCAAGACTTATCGCCAATCCAAACTTACTCCTTCATATTCTCCGTACAGAGCTTTACTCATATAATGAGCAACCGACGGCTCATCCTACCATTACCTTAGCATCCACTTGGATTGATAGGATCGCTCACATCCCAAAGAGCATCTTGGAGCTGTTGAATAGTAGAGCTTGCAGGACTGCAATTATGTTCAATGATGAACTTGGTGTTGATGAGTGCAGGGAGCTGGTCAGAAGATTGGCAAATTGCAAGTTTCCTTTCATGTGTGCACATGGGCGAGTGAGCATGGTACCACTTGGGGACCTTGAGATGATGACAAAAATGAGCGGAGGTGGTGATTATTCACATTCAGTACTGTTTGATCAGGGAAACAAAATTGGGAGTAGTGATGGGGCTTTTGGTACTGAATGGGGAAAATGGATGAGTCAGCGAAGAAAAAAATAGTAAGAAGTATAAGTTCACTCTTGATAAACCCAAACAGTAAATATGAGGTGTCTGATTTTGATGGCTGGGAATACTTTATCCGAGCTGGAAGATGCACGCTAAGCTTGTAAAACTTACTCGGGAGCTCAGAAACCTCAAGTGATCGTTGAAACAACAGCAATCGCGTCACTATTACAACCACAACCACAACTGCGACTGCTACTACAACACCGCCGAAATTTCCGTTGCAACGAAATGGAAAACCAGGAGTATCCTTTCATTCTCGAAGGCGGCGATGTACGAGCCAAAGCCAACAATGGTGGACGAGTAATCACTTTCAGATTATCATCTCATGCGCTTTGCTTCGCCAGCCCAGTTTGGAAGAAATTTGTGTTTCCTCCATTTCCTCTTCTATCCTCCTCACTTAGAAATGAAAAAAAAAGCCAAATTCGAAGAAAGCTTGCGCCGTTCCTGAAGAGCCGTTTCCCGACATCGAGTTAGATTTCACGGAAGACAATCCAGAAGCTTTGTTGATTCTTCTGCAGATTGCGCATCTGAACTTTTCGGAAATACCTTCACAATTATCATACGGAGTTTTATTAGCAGACTGCCATCCTTTGCGATCAATAAGATTGTAGAAGATTGGTAAAATCATGGATTCAGCGTTGGTTGAAAGATGAGTGTACAGAAGCGCATATACCACACCAAGTCTTGGAGGTTGGCTTCTAGAATAGTAATAATAATATTGGTATTCTAGTATTAGTGGAAGACTTGGTCACTTTAGCTTAAGGGATAAATCGAATATAGTATGAGAGTTGAATTGAAGTCAAATTATAAGAAAGAGCTTGAATAGATCTGAATTTATTTGCTTTTTCTAGGTTTCCTTTGAAATTCTGAAACTCTTTTATTAAACTTAATAGCTAATTCAGGTGAGTGAGCTTTTCTTGTATTTTCGTTCATACAGAGAGCTTTGTTTGGTTGGATTTCTATATCATCAGTATATAGCATAAAATCATTGATTTCGAGATATAATTTAGCTTTATTTACTCATTCAACATAATTAGATCTGCCTCTTAAGAGGTCAGATTTAAAGGTTACACCAGATGCCATTTTAAATCTTTACATTAGACTATTTGATCTTAAAAAGGTGGTTTGAATTCGTACTAGTTTTAATGAAACTAGTATTAGGGTTAGAATGGATATAATAATGAATTCGATTTAAAGTCGAATTTCTAGGTTGAGATCGATTAGACCAGCAAGAAGGGTGGTTATGGATTGCTTATTACTTTGGGAGGAAAGACATCTTCTACCATATGACGAGAACTCTGGCACTGCGACTATTCGTCGACAATGATGGGAAGTGCATGCTGATGGATGAGCCATTTTACCGCCAACATCGCATTCTCAAATCCAAACTCTATTCTCTAGGTTTGGAAGAGAGTCCATTACCTCCTGAAATCACAGGTTAGCCCAATGCCACTTATCAATTTTCGTCGCTCTAACAGCTTGTAGATACGATCTTTAACTTGTGTAAAGGTATGATTTTTTTCCTGATAACTTGTACGACAAATATTATGGGGGGACTGCTGACCGGCAATGTGCTAAGCCCATGCAAAGAGTTATGTCAGTTGGCCATGTATGGACTTATGAGCAAACATTTCAGCGAATGCAGTCTGTAGCCACTACCGAAAGCAGAGAACTACAATTGGACTCCTTTCCAATTGTATAAAAAGATAGTTCGCGCTCTAAATTTGAGCAATGTTGCCCACAAACCTGTGGGAAAGATTCATACTGGCAATTGTTCCTTCACGGATGATTGGGGTCTGGCCCTTGTGCGTAACCTCATATCCAGTCTCCGCGAATACGATGTTAATCGGGGTGAGGGCGAAACTGAAGGAAGCAATTTTCGAAATTATATGGATCGCGCGGTCCAAGAGGTTGGCAACTTTGACTGTTTCAGAAAACCGCTATCAGGAAGGGCTCTGAATTTACATATCAAAGAAGTTCTGGAGCTGTGCCCGATGAAATCATCTAAATGATCCATTGCATTGTATTCTATTTTACTTGTCTCGCTTTGCGTTTAACATCCTCGACCACTGCCCAAAACACCGGCATTGCTGCTGCTCTGGGTCGCTGGCTGGTTGGTTTGCTCCTAACTTCTGATCAATGGCTTTTACGAACTTGAAAGACATGTGGCAGGGAATTCAACTTGGCGTATCCTGAGAAATTAAAATCATACAGATAATCGGCTGCTAGGAAACACATCTTGCGGTATCAGCATACAAGTGAATGAAGAAAATCAAACCGGGGATGTAATTGAATCATGGGATTCAAACTAGTTTCTCATGTATCAATGATATTTCTACACTTCAAATTCAAAAAAATTTGCGATGTTTAATATGATCGGGTTATTTTGGTGAGGTGAACCCTTGATCTTGGGATCACGTCATATAAGCTTACTTCGTGCCTAAAGTGATTTTACCCATTCTTGATCTCTATCTCCCATGTATTTCTCACTGCCCCTTAGCCTTCTCTGACAAGTCGGTGATATTCCCATCCCCCCCTTCAAAAAAGCAATTAGCGTTAACAACAACCCATCCACCTCAATAGTTCACCAATATCTCCCCCACCACACTCCGAAACAAAAAACCTCATCAACCAAACAAACTAAACTCACTACAATAATTCCTTATCAAAAGCGAAAACCCATTGTCTCACATATACCACACCCATCATATCTTCGCATGACATACCATGCAACAGGGAAACACCCTCCACTAACCGAGAGATCGCTACATGGTTCTTCGTTTGCGGTTCATCTGTACTTTTATGCATTTTCTTGCATTTTCTCGCATTTTCTTATCTCAAACGTGTCGATTGATGAGCTTTGGATTTTGCATTTCATATTTATTGGGTGTGGATTTTCTGGGGGAAGAGGGAAGGGGGTCGAGATTTCGTTACTTACGGGAGGAAAATGTGCACAGGTATGTGTGTTTGTAAGATTTAAGTTAAAATGCAAGGTAAGGTGTAAATTATGCTATATTGTATGTACCTATGCATGTGCAGATATTCCCTGTGTACTACCCAAGTTCCATCCAGCGAGGAACTTTTCCACAGTCCCGTCTGTAACCAGATATGCAAACCCGAAGATATAATGATGAACAACTCAGTCCTAGACTAAATGATCATCATTATCATCATTCCTCCGTAAAATAAAATCCATCTCAAATGCTCAGAAAAATGTATTTTCCAGCCCGTACCCCAAACGCCAGTGAGATGAATAAATAAATCAATAATACAAATGCAAAGTGGTATCTATTGAGCCCCCGCTGAAAAGAAGAAAAAAACTCCACGCTTTGCTTGCTTCCATAGCAATAAAATAAATGTGCAAGTTTCCGGTGGGAAATTTGCCTCAGTAATAAAAGGCGTTTGGGGAATGGGTACATCATTACTTCCCCTATCATGTCTTCATAATCTTCCTTCCCTTTCATTCCCATCCCATCCCATCACAAGTCGTCAACTCATCTCATCTCATCCCTAATCCAAAGCCGTAATCGCCGCACCCACAAGTGTATCCAAAGCGCTCCCATCACTCTGCACACTATACACCGGTTTGGTAGCGCCACTCCACACCAATCCGAGCATATTATCACTACTTGTATCTTTGCGAATGATACTCTCTGCATTGAGCGCCAGGAAAGCTCGATACTTGGTGAGGACATCTGCGTCAATGCCGGTAGCTCTATTGACCATGAATGCGAGATTGCGTGTAAAGACGCCTTTGAATTGTTGTTCGTCTCCGTCACAGGCGTTGGGCTCGCAGGCTTTTTCCTGCAGGATTCCCTCAGAGGTCGTCATGTTTGCGATGACTGAGTTAGCGATTTGGACCGCGAGAGCAGTGTAGGAATGACTTCTTGTGCTCCAGGTGAGCTCGGTGAGACCGGATAGGATGATGCCTTGGTTGTAGGTGAATATGATTTTCCCGTTGTTTTTGCATGTAGTCATAGAGATGCCGTCGTTGAAGAGATGAGTAGAGGGGTTCATGGAAGTGGTGGTGTTCGTGATAAGGAAGTCGTAAGCAATCAGAGCCTGGGAGTAATAGTAGCCTTGACCTTGGGAGTTCTTTTTAGCGGGAAGACGGTTAGCGAGTTTGGCGGAAGCGGTGAGGTAGAGTTCGTTTTCTACGCTGTTAACGCCGGCATGTTTCTTGTCCCACCTGATTAATTGTTAGTATGTTTGTTCGGCTTGTGTAAGATTGTTATTGTTATTGAGAGGGGCCACATGATAAGTTGCAGAGAGGTTATGGCGTGATTTGTGTAAGGGAAATTTGGTGGTCATTTGACCGTGAGTGAATGGAAACAACATACCATAAGCCACCACAAGGAGTATTACCATAAACACTCTTAGGATCTTCATAAATTGCTGCCGCGGTATCAAGATAGGTAGCATTTCCAGTTGCATCGTAAACTTGAATCCAAGCCAATACCCACCAAAGTTCATCATCGTAGTAATCATTAAGAAACTCCTTTGCATACGCTGGAGCATGCGTCAAGACTGTTGCAAAAACATCTGGCATCCATGTAGCTGTGGTTGGGTATTTTCCATAGTAGTTGGCCATCATCGTAAGGACATTGGCGGAAGGCCACCACTGTGGGGAGAATTTTCCGCCATTATCGTAGGAGCCCCAGAGTCCAGACGGAGCGTTCCAGTATATTTTCTGGAGAGCGTTGATAGCTGATGAGGCGTATTTTTGAAAGTCGTCGCGGGTCAAGCTATCTTTTGAACTTGCACGCTTGGCTAATAAAGAGGACTCGGAATCTCGCTGGATCTTTGTTGGAATAGCTTGAACAACGGAAGAAGTGAGGGCTGCTACAGACAGCGAAGCCAAAATGTGGCGCAAAGAGATATGCATCTTGTTTGGTAGTACTTTGTCTGTGAGAGAGGTTTCGTGCGTTGTTCTTAAGCAGGTTTCAGGACGTTTTGAATCAATTAAAATTCGATGATTCACACAACTTTCCTTTTCTGTGAATGACCGCGTAGTAATATAAAGTTTGATGTAAATGATTTCCTAATCACTACAATATGCCTCGTGCCAAGGCTAAAGCCAATAAAGTCACGCTGCTAATTTGTGAAAGAGACGAAGGAGCAGTGGATTGGACGTTCCCACCGACCATTGTGGCAAGCCGAGGAGCGGGAATCGGCAGGCTTTATATTCAAGCCCATGATGGCCAGCGGATCTCCCAAGTGAGCCAAGGCCCAAAATTCTATGGCATTGCTGGAAATCGGTCGAAAAATTGGTTTCTCGATCTCATTGACAGAAGCCTACAATTCTCTCTAGGTCGGATTGTGGGCTATGTGGCTCGAGCGTTTGTGGTCCTAAAATTGGATCTTTTCGGGGATTTTATTCCAACAAGTCAGGGGTTTAAACGATCCACTACAAAATAGCTACAAGGTAATCCCACACTAGTGGAGATCATTTGTGAAGCAGTTGAGCCTTGCTCCAGAGTTTTGGTGTCTCATCTTTGTATAATTGGATGACGTGAGGACGTGTGTTCAAAGAATGGATCCTTTGATTTACATTGGATGAGCTCATAGGCAAATCTCAAAGTAAATCTCTAGAGGGGTTGGAAGACAAGAAATCGTAATTCTGGAGAATCGCTAACCTGTCTTTCAGTAAATGGTCTACAGATGATCTGAAAGTCCCGATAATATTTGCGGTAGGATAACATGGAGACCCAGAAATCAATAAATGACATGGTCCTATAGCAGGCCAACATCGGTTACCATCGATTTTCTATAGCTTGGCCGGCGCGAAAACCTGAGATGAGCTCATCCAAGAGACGAACCGATTGTTGGTGCTTACAAGAGCACACTTTCTCCGATTGGTGACTTGTAGGTGAAAGAGTCTAGTCCCTCATTCTGTGAATGTACCTTATCCTGATTGGTCAATGTACTCATCCCACTTTTCTGGATTAAGCTAGTATAATAGTCAAATGGATTTTGATCACAGTTTTTCGTGTTTCCAGCATTAGTACCAAGTGGAAGGGTAGGAGAAAAACGCCTGACCTTGTCAGATCTATGCCACGAAACGAATCTGTACAGAATTGTGACATTTATGGACGTAAGAGCTTGTTCAATTTCTTGAAAGAAGTATAACATGTCTTCTTTCGTTTCATAGCATTGACCAGTAGCTTGAAGAAAGCGGCTGAGCAGTTTCAAGTTCTCGATTCAGATGAACAGCCGTTGCGTTTAGATAAATATATAATTTTAATTTCCCGTGAGAGGATTTTAGCCAGGATGATACGTAGTTCTCGTATGAATGACTTTAATGACGGTATGTTGATTCGTTCTGGAAAGGTATGAGAGCGTCGATATCGATTGAGGTTGATTTTTTCATCTCGAAATTTCATGAGTACGCGCGATGGTGGATTCTCAGATTTGTCATCTGGCTGGCCGCTTTAAATTAGTGATGGCAGCGTGTATAATTATTAAAGCAGCTATGAGAACCTCCTTTCGACTAATCGCACTCGATGCTTATCTTATCAAAGATGTCGTTCACCGGTACCCTTGGCAGCAGCAGGAGTAAACGACATGGTAAATTTGACATCAGCAAAAGCGCCACCACATAGCTGGGCGTAATCTTATTAATTTAATTTTGTCTCAAGCCAGATCTTTGAGGTTAATTCAACGTTGAAGTGGGCCATGTAGCCACAGGTTTAACGTGATAGTGATATCAAGGGAGAATGTTACCGGCGTTTAACAGGAAAGCTGCGCTAGCTGCTCACAAGTTGCATTGGAGAGTACGTTTATGAAATGTCAAGGTATTTTACGCAAAATGGTGTGGCTTACACTTCCTATTGAATCTAGCGGTCTTCTCAGAATCTCGTATCGGTGTACCTAAGGAGTGGTGTAATTTTAAACCCATGGCATTCTCAAGTCCGTTCCGATGTTTCCGTTGGAGGAAGACAATTCCTCCCTCAGTATCGTTACTCTCAACACATACTAGATTGCTAAACCTTCTTAATTGAAGACTGGGGGGGGCATTTATGACTCGATCTTGTACAGCAAGGGCTGGTTTTGAAAAGTGTTGTTGTCATTCAGTAGTGAACTGTGCAATACTGTTCTGCCGCAATGAAATGCCCATCCGGTGTTCTATTAAAGTAGGAGAGAAAATTCGTCCTGCTCTAGACTCCAACCATGTTCGTAATGTCTTGTTGTGGCTGTTCGTTGTGTTCTTTGCATCTGCTCTTTTGTGCGTTGCTGTTCTGCAATATCGGAATACATGTTTGAATCAATTGCGATTACATGACTGAGTGTCGTTCGTTATAGCTTTACCTGGAAAGCAAAACCATCAACAGTAGCTTGCATTGAAGAATAGAATCCAAGACATGTGTCGAATCATTTCCGCCGGAGTTGACATGTTCTTCTCACACGCATAAAGTTTGACCTCAGGTCGGCTAATTGTTCTTTACCCTTTCAAGTTTTGTCCCTTAGTTTTCTAATTCTTCAGAATTTGAAGAGCTCATACAATACTTACGCTGCTTTGGAAAAAAGTAAGAGCCGGAACACAGGACAAATGGAATTTGGAAAGAACAAAAAGAGTGAAACACTTGTTCAATACCACTAATGCATATCTATATACCTCAAACGCCACAAAAATGATAAAACTACATTTCCAAGCTTCGTTTAGTCGCTCTCATCACACTCCTACAATATGCATACCTCACTCTGTCCTCCTCCAGCCCCACCAACCCCTCAATCGTCGTTCCTCTCGGACTACTGAACTGTTCTCTAATCTCATCACCCGTCATTCCTTTCGAATTCTCTTTTGTCCTGCCATTCGTCTTCCCATCTCTCTTTCCATCATCCCCACTACTCTCTTCTCCCTTACCCTCCAATAGCCCAATCAAGCCCTTCAAACTCCTCACCAAGATATCCCTTCCCTCACTTCTCTTGATCCCCTCCTTCACACCCCCATCTAGTATCCCGTCAAGCGCCACTGTCAAAAACGCCATGCTTGTGGCCGCCATCACACTAGCCGCATCATATTGCCCAGGCCCCACTTCCACTATCGATCCTATACATCTAAAAATGTAGCGAACAATGGATTTATTTTGTTGCGAAAGAACCATCGAAGGAGATACTTCTACTACGGTATTCGATTCCCCGAAAGTGGCTGCTAGACTCGGCATTGCGCGAACGATAGCGATTTCTTTTCCTTTGCCTTTTCCGATGGAAGATTCCGAGATTCCTATCGCAGCAGTCATTTTTTCCACCGGTGTCCCTACTGCGACACTAATCACCAGTTTTCCTCCCAACGCCTCTTTTACTCCTTGCATCGAGAGTACTCCCTCAATTGTATATGGTTTACACGCCAATAGAACAATGTCCGCTTTCTGCATAGCTTGAAGCACCCCGTCATTCCCAACTAGGATGTGAACACGTGATTCGCTCGAATGGAATTGTTTGCGCAAACGAATTACGGATGCCATCGTGTTGACTATGGCGATAAATGTGTTTATATTTGAGTCGGTAGCAGCACCTTTAGATTTTGCGTTAAGAATACCAGTGAGGATTGAAGTGCCCATTGTTCCTAAGAAATATGTCAGGTGACTTATAAAGGGGCTGATGAGTTGTGATCTGTGCAACCTCCCACAAGAGTACAGACAGATGAGCAGCATAGGAGAGATACTCACCACAACCGATGATAGCAAGCGTAAGTCCTCCATTTTCTTTATCTTTATTCGCCAGCGTGAGATCTGGGGAGGTTGGAGAGGAAGACATAATTGCGATATCGTGGCGTATTCGTGGGTGATACTCAAGATATATATATAATCTTTCTTCACGTCATTTTATCTCCTCTTTGGATAGATAAAGTATTTTAGAGAGGTTTCGACGAATCCGCAATTACGAAGGCCACCAATTTCGTACTTCCTTTCTTTGGAAATTAAATTGCTCCCTGGGGCCTGTGTTTTGAGAAGGAGGGGTTGAGGCCAGGTTTACGGTCGCAATCCAACCGCGCTAATCCTATATAGGTGATCTACTTACATTCATGTGAGGTCTTTCATTCGCGGAATAATGGATGATGATTGATCCATAATTTTCTTGTATTGTGGGTAATTAGGCAACTTGGTAACACAAAATCTATTGGAAAATACTGACTGCATTGTACCAACAGATTAAAGGGGTTCGGCTGCGTTTGTTAAAAAGAAGCTTTCATGGAAAAGGAGTTCTGATCTGTGTTAAAGATATACAAAGAGGACAAATCGATCCAGAGAAGCTTCCGACTGATCGTCGCTGGAGGATGCGTCTAGCCCGGTAAATGAGTGGATACATTTTATCTCCGCATGGCGGCCATAAAAGTTCGTGCAGTCATCGATTATGATTCTCAGTAGTTCTATCACTTTGAGATATTCCACAGCTTCTCTTCATACCACATCATGATGGAAGAGCATATGTGAAAATTTCTGTAAAGGGCAGTAGTGATGTGCGTCGAGGAATGGAAGGCATAATCGGTATCTTCCCGAAAAGTTCACAGGCAAATTCTATATCCGAATTCTACCATGAATCTTTTTCGGATCCTAAAACATTCATACGATTATTAGAAATTGACAATGTCGACGGGGAGGTTTCGACAACCGAATCGCGTTGTAACATTAGCATATGGCATGTTGAACATACGCCATCACACCATGCCATATCGTACGTACGGGATAGTCCAGAATTTATCTCAACTATAAATGTTGACGGCAAAAGTCTAAAAACTAAATCGAAATGCGGATTACGCGTTGCGACAAGCAAAATGGTTTGGCGTCCGATGTGTTTGGACGGATTCCGTATGTATCGACCAATACAACATCGAAGAGAAAGTTGATCAACCGAAAATGATGAGGCACATATATCAAAATGCTTCATATATCTTCTTCGCTTGCGTAGGGTCGCATGATGATGACAGCGAGCTTGTGATCAGGTTTTTCTGTGAAGTCAAGAGCTTTGAGCAAGGAATGACCGATATCGATCGAGCCTCTGCGCTTACTTTCATAAAAGATACAATTAAATCTCTAGCATGGGCCATAACCACTCAAGACGAGCAAGAGAACGGCTCGAAGAGCATTTTCACCTTCATGGAGAGGTCATACTTCAAGCGACTATGGATCCTGCAGGAGGTTTCTACCGCTGGAATTGTAATTTCTTATTGTGGAAGTAACTATCGTCCCATCAGCGAGCTTTACACACTTCATCACAAGCTACACAGTCCGATATGAACACCGGCTGGCTTTGCTCGTGCAATCTCTTAAACATCGTTGCTTTTTTGACAATGATCCGACAAGGAATGACAAGGGCTTCCATATTAGACTGGCAGAAAAGCCGTTGCGATCCTGCTTCAAATTCTTGCTGTGATTATTGTGCTGATCCTCGTTATCGGTACTTGGCGTATCGAGCTAGCAAATTAGATCAGCGTTTCCTTTTACACCCTCTATTAGAGTTGACACGGGACTTGCAATGCCAAGATCTTCGGGACAAGATAAATGGAGCTCTCTCAAAGGTTGGTTGGCAGGATGTGTTGCCTATCGAGCCAGACTACACCTCAGATATTTTTGGTGAAGCAGTTCTGGAAATGACAAGTATAATCGAACAATCAAAATGCTCGGAAATACATTGCTCCGAAGAAAGTTGCTATCAAGCACTCGCGCACAAAAGTTCAGAGAGCGTTGATATACATTAGCACGCAGAAAAAGATATCAGCTTTGATTAATCTGCTGGTATATATGCAGAAGACGTAGAATGGTTTTCTTGTAAAAATTTGAAATTTACGGACAGTAGTTAGAAGCTCGATGTTCGACCAAATCATAAGATTCATAAAAAGCGTATAGAAGGGGAGTTGGGGTGTATGTTTCATCATGATAAAAGTGGTCGCTGGCCAAAACTAATCTTACCTGGGTTTGAAAGCGAGATTCCGGAAGATTATTTCAAAGTCATGGATGATGAAGGAGGCCTGGTAGCGCTACTATCCCAAGATACACAGCGAGAAGACTTGCTTGTTACTCAAGCATACGCACATCTCGACAGCAAAGAGCCAACCCAAATCAGATACCAAATGCCTCACTGTCTAGTACTACGAGAGCACGAGTCGAGCCGTCGTTCAATAATTGGGCAAGCTATAGTTCTGGGAGGATGTTCGGCCTCTGGTGCTACTATTGGCCCATGGTTTAACTTGCAATTTAATTTCCGTGGCGCGTCTAACTTGACGATCTCTTGGGGGCAGTGTCCCGCCTATGAAGAGAAAGATCTTTCTTTGATGACTTGTAGTATGGCAATAGACCCGTTAGATCTTAAGGTCTGCCGGATCCCATTATTTTCATACTCATCTGAGGTGCAGCACAACACAAGAGGAATAGATATGAATTGGCGTCAGAGAGACTTGGATTTGATACTTGGACGGCGAAAAATTAGGGAAGACCCAGCACGAGATTTAGAAGGTAGGCCATAAGATAAGTAGCTCAAGGCGGAATGAGGCGAGCAAGAAGAAACGCCAGCTTTGCACCTGCGAAATGAGAAAGAGGCTCGAAGGATGCGCGAATCTATATTAGGCTTTGGAATTTGCAGATATGATACAACAAACCGTCTAGTTGTAGTATCGGATTCAAAGGAATTACCTGGCTTGCTCTGCAGTAGCATTTGCATGTACCGTACAACTGAAAAGCAAGAGGAAACTAGCCAAATGCGGTAGCTAAATGGTAGAAGGTTATGGATACTTCCGTGTTCACTTCATCTGATGAATTCCCTCCTCCATGCTCTACCCCTCATAATTCCCAATGCTCGTGCTTCTACGAATCTGCACTCGCAGTCTTTGAGTAGAAGCATCAAAGAGTTTCGAAATCAGTTATTTGGATCTTTCAGAACTGCGGCAGATTCGCAAGTAGAAATAGGTTGTCGGTTATGTTACTCGACCCATGGAATGGGGGGAAGCAAAAATGGGGAGATGCGAATTAGAGATATAAGTAAAGACAGAATGATTTACGGAGCACTGGGAATGTGAAAATACATTTACATTTAGTTCGCGTTGATTAGGTGCGTCATGATGTGACGATGCTAATAGTCCAGATCTTATAGACTTTTTCGACTCAGGAATGTCCCATTCTGATTCCTGATGGCCCCTTCCTAAATTCACTCGAAACTCCCCCTACCTCCGAAATTGGTTAAAAGATAAGAAGATTCACTCACGACACGCTATCTGAATCAAAATATCCTCCATTGGGATAGGCCGGATGCCGAGCACTAAAGTTAGGTAAAGACACTAACTTCCTAGCTATTGTACAGTACTAGTGAATACTGGTAAACACCCTACACGTGATTTAGCTATGGTGAAACATGATCTCACTATGATGAATTACTATTTCAGTACATCCTCGACTTTTTGATGTTTGATTCCGATTCAAATCCAAGTCGATTAAGCTTCATATCAATTTAATTGACACAAATTCGAAATCAATTCGACTTCAATACAACTAAAGTTCAAGAATCAACAAAAACAACAACAAAATATGTCCGACTCCGACGCATCTACCAACGTATCTGTTCGAGATCTCGACTATTCTGGACTCAGAAAAGCCATCGATATTAGACTCAACAAATATTTCGAGAAATTAGACGCGCCAGAATCTCACGAAAGACCCAAGGCCATTCATCGCAACGACTTTTACAAATTTACAATCCGTGCAGAAGAGCCAAATGTAGAATTCATCAAGTTCGTACCAAAAATCATGTGGTGCAGCAAACTGGGAGTCTACAAACACGTTTCCCGTGAGCGGGCATATGAACTTCGCATTGTTCTTGATGAGTTTTGTGAGGAATGGTGTAGTCAATGGTTGACGGGGGATGCTGGAATATTCTTTGTGCAGATTCGTACGAATCTTCGCAGAGGAAGGAACTTGTGAACCCACGGGGGTTCTTGCCGACTATTGGGGAAGTCAATCACATGTAGCGACTTGTGGCTAGATGTATGGCCACACGCTATTATCAGGATAGTCTCTACTAATAACAAATGCAAGAGCAAACATGACGGAAATCTTTGATTGTTTACAAGCGTGTCCTGACAAAATCAAACATCTGACCAATACCATTCTTTTTCTCACACCCAGAAACAAATCAAAACCGACAACACTAAAGTAAGATTAATATTGAATATATCTAAATCGAGACTCGAAATTTGCAGACAGGGGAAAACATGGAACGGAGAAGGTATCCAAGGTTTTTCACTGAGGCAGATTTGGGAGCACATCTCACCAAGTGTCTTTTGAGGTTGGATGAAGATTTTCTTCGACTCATTATGGCTCAAATTGTCAGGGACGAAGGCTACGGATGCCCTATTTACAATGAAAAAAACGAGGCTATTTTTATGATCAACATTGACCCATCAAAGCTATCCCATAATAATTCGCGAAAGATGATCACGGCATACACCATGATGGATGTCGAGGAAATTCGAAAGTTTGTTCGGGATTTGTTTTACAAATCTTGTGTCGACCAAGAGACTCGTGGAGCCAAGATTCGTTGCGATCTACGTTTGGAAGGTCAGAGAGTAATCTCTCAAGTCAAATTATGGGAGGAGGGTGACTCAGATTATAACGACGTTGGAGATGAGGACGAAGATGAATCACTGTTTGAAGAGGTGCTCGATGATCGCAAAAAAGACGAAGATGCCGTCTGGAGACGAAGGGTCTTGTTCGCAATCGAAAAAATGAGAGCTTCACAACTTCGAAGGGCTATCCACATGACGTGCGGAGGAGTCTACGAGATGAAATTGCCCGCTGATGAGGAATATATCAATGAAAAGGAGGATTTGACTTCGCGGCGTATGATCGCGGTGGTCTTGATACATGGTCATCGAGTTGTCCTGACACACGAAGCCGAAAGTTGCGATTTACTGGAAATAATGACTGCTAATGAACTCAGAAAAACCCTTATAGTTTTGTGTAATGCCGGTCTCGTGACACTCTCATTCATTAAAGGCGGGCAACTTATCATAGACGGGAGCACAATTACTCTGGATGTCCGTGAACTAGACAAACCGCAAGGCGAGAGCTCCAGTGAGAGCGGAGAACAGGATTCAGCAGATGAAAATCCAGAAAAAGAGAAAACGAGTGACTATGGAGTGGAAGTTGAAGCACCCGACGAAGAATTATCTGAGCCTGAGTCCCCCATTCCCATTCCCAGAAAGAGGCCCAGACTGTGGGTTGAGCATAATCAGCTACTTGGAAAATTGCCGTGGTAGTATGTTTATTGAAGCGACTATCGATATGATGGTGGAATCGAGATCAACAATCTGGTGCCCAGTATTGTTTTTGTGCATAGGAGCGGGAGGAGAGGTGAAGGGGGTTGCATGAGCGGCCAGTTAATACCTAGTATCGATTAGAAAAGTAAACAAATCGAATAATTTTATCATCTGTAGAGAGCCGATAAAATAGTGAAGTTGACCAACCAAATTCTCTTGCCAACAATGAACTTGCAGAGATCTAAAACTGCTTTTCAGCTTATCTAATAAGCGAACGTTCTCATATTACCACTCAAGCACATTCCAGTGATCTACTACATTGTCAAACCGGGAAACAATACATCAACAATGGGTAACCCAAGACTCAAGACCGCCTTCGACGGAATGGACGCGCCAAGACTCCGAGAACTCCTCAACAAGCTGTGTGAGAGTGGAAAGTTTACTGTTGATGATCCGATGGGTAAAATCGAGGTTGATGGCCGCAACATCGTTGTCTCGAATGGATTTATCGACCTTACTCAAAGCGACGATAGCGATGGTAAAGACGAGCAATACAACAATGGCAGAGTTGGAAGTTACAATGACGAAGACGACAACAACGAGGAAGAGCTTGCCAAGACAGAAGCAGACGATGGAGAAGTTGCAATCGTTGACGACGCAAGCTGGCGACAAGCTGTGAAAACAAACCAACAAGTGGGCAGAATGGGAGAGCTAAAGATAGATCAAGCAGTTAGAATAGTCAAATCGGTGGATCAACAGACAAACAAAGGCGACGACGAAGCATCTAAGGACAATGAGGGATATGATGAGGAGGAATTGGAGGCTGACTCATGGGACAACTCTGATGATGACAACCATGTGCCAGCTTTGCGAAAGAGTGAGATCGAAGAATTGCTGTCGCCAAAAAAGGATTACTTAGAGGAGATGTACGCTAAGAGGGAAAAAAGATTGCGAGATTGGTCGCTTCAAAGAAAAGAAATCTGAAGATATTCGAGTGCGAAAACTGTGGTTACGAATTCAATATCGAGGAAAACAAGAAGGGTGATTGTGCCCACCACCCAGGTATGTTTTGAAGTGTTCAAGCTTGACGTAACATTTGGTTATTGACTCTCAAATTCTAGGAGAGAGAGAACTAGATGAGAATTATGCAGAAGATTATCATTGGCCGAACTATGGAGAGCCATGGAAGAGTGTAGATGATCCGGAGTATGCAGATCGTTTCATCTGGAGTTGCTGTGAGCGTAATTCAGATGCAGAGGCGTGTATATTCACGAGACATAAGGCATTGGAGGAAGGAAGCAGGAAGAGAACTAAAACTTAGGCTTACTAGTTTTTTATGGTCGTGGCGACAATGTTAATGGGGATTTATACTTAGTATTGATCTCCTCTGGATCTCGTGTTGATCTCGATATTTCAAGTCCAGATAATTCTCTGGTATGTTTGAGGATGAAGTTTAAAGAAGATATGATAAGGGTCCTTGACATAGATTCATAGTTCCAGCTTTTCATCTTATCCATTGCTTTTGACCTGAAAAATTGTTTGTGCATTAGCTGCTTATTTGATGCGAGGGAGACAGAGTTACTTCTTGTTTTGCAACCATCTCAACAATTGAACCATAAAAAGCTGCACAGATCTTAGACAGTGCACAGACATGGTTTGTATTCGTTCCGGGTATCTTCGAACAAATTTGTTTGTAGAGAGTGAAGAGCTTGCTCGCATTCACCATAAGTTGATTATGTGATCTTGAATCTTCTTACATCTTTGCCTTGACTTAGACGAATTTGTTTATAGGAATTTCCAGAGGCATCATCGAAATTCATCTCTTAGCTATCACAACTTGTTCGTTGTGATGAAGCAGGCCGTACCTACTGAGATTAACAAGTAGATCAGTGTCTCAAGCTTCTTTCAAAATTATCTGCTTTCATTCTCACCAACGAATTTCTTTACACCTAGTCACAGCTCTAGGATCCACAGCTTTTCTATTGTTCGTGTTCAAAGTTTGCATCCCATCACAGAAAATATGATCGACTCAAGATTATGCGAAGAATTCGAGAAGATGGATGCTCCACAGCTCCGAAATCTTCTCAAGCTGGTCTGCGACAACAAAGGCTTTACTTTGAAGCACCGTCATGGAAAGCTTTTTATCAAGCCAGAAAAGGTATTCTTCTGGGTCGATGGCTTTCACGACGGTAAGCCTAGACTTATTGACTTTGGGGACTGCGATAACTACAAGGAAGGAGAAAAGGATGTTGGAATCGAATTTGTCGACGCGCCGATCAAGTCCAAGTACGAAATTCATGAATTGGTCAAAGCCAACCAGAGAAAACATCCGGGCAAAAGCCCCACGATGTTTAAATGCGAGAACTGTCATAATTACTTCTGTATCAACAACAACCCGTCCAATGACTGCCTATGGCATCCAGGTATATTCCAATTTTCTCGTCCCATGACTATCTTGCTAACAACCTCAGGCCAAAGAACAACGGATCTTGACGATGTCATATGGGAAGATCATGATCCGAATAAAGACGGAGCAATTGAATCTCTTGTTGATCATCCGGACTTCGAGGATCGTTAGATTTGGTCTTGCTGTTCACAATTCGGGAGCGACTGGGGTTGCAAAATGACGAGACACAAGGTGTTGGAGGAAGTCAAAGAGCCCAGAAACATATTCGAAACCACTTCCGAAGACTCGTTAATCGACTACAAGAATTTTGAAGGTTCCGACTCAGCCGATGCATCCGGGGACATGGAAAATGTTGAGAAACCGGCGGCGAAGAGGGCCAGATATGATTGCAATAGTGTGGACACGAAACAGAAGAGTATACAATGGTGATAAATTGAGCATATGAGTACTATTTGGATTGAGAATCGTCAATGGTTTATATCGGAAGAGGAGCTTGAGGAAATTGGGAGCATTCAGAGGACAAGACCTCGAGGGTGCATAAGTGGAGAAACGAGTTCATTTTGGAGGGACAAGGTAAGGTTATCGTAGTGGATGGCCGTTGAGCTAAGACAGCCTTTGCAAATGAAAGCAACGTCGACGACGATATACTCAGGTACTGATTGAATTCGAGCGTTCGTATCAAAATTTTATGAAATTGTTGCCAAATCAATCCCAATGTACGTGAAGTGGTGGTGCATTGCCTTTCATCTTTTGAAGTTCACGTGACTGACAGATGGAATGATGGGTTACGTAAGCTTGGTGAAGTATGCTTGCTATGACCAAATGAGGGGGCAGCAAACAATTCGAAATACAAACAATGACATGTTCACTGAGAATGATTCATTAAGTTGATACGGTCACATTAAATTGATGAATTATTTGATTCACCTGTATTGCTTTCCATACCTGCTGTCTTTCACCATGTTGAGATACGAGATAAAGGAAATTTATTTCTGAAAGCTCTCACAAACAAACAAAAGCACGAACTTTGCTGCCCTATCCAAGAATTTCACACAGCGGTCATGTCGGATGTCAATATGGAAGAAGGTCGCAATGACGATTCATTCTCACTTGCTCAGCTTGGTATTAAACAAAGAATCGAGCAGGCAAAACTTAGAGCAGCTGAACGAAGAGCTCGTGAAGCTGCTGCAAGACGCGTGGAACAAGCTCCTATAACACCATCCCGGTCATCATTTCCCGCATCGCCCTCCATTACAAATTCTTTACCATCTACTTCCGATCATGCATCAACAGCAAACCTTCTTCTTCGATCACCAACTACAAATCATGAACGCGTCGAGCGGGCTAAAACACTCGAGGCACTATCAAAGAAGATCGATGGGGCGGGGAACTTTAAGCTTCAGGAACTGATCATGATTATGATATTGCAATGTCCAGGAGCAAAATATGTGGCGGAATCTTTTTTCGTGTCGGACGGCGTGGAGAGCGACAACGGAGAAGACGGCGAAAAGGAAAGAGATGATACGGCGCAATTGGAGGACGCAGAAGTGCAAAACTCCAATCACGTGATACACACTCGCGACCATCGCACAAGTATTGCCTTGAATGTGGACCAAAATCGAGGGGATAGTTTAGAAACTCAAGCAAGCTCTGGATCCCCAGCGACTATAGTGCCAAATCAGCAGGTCGGTGAAGCAAATGCCAGGCAAGAATCTGATCCACCACGTTTACATCCGAATCTTTCTCCAGAGGACGCCTCGATATTGCACAATAGCGAGGCAGCCTATCAACCAAGTATCCTGGAATTGAGAAGTCGCTCTGATTCTGTAGACTCACAAGGCTTAGTTGACAGGCAACTTCTACCCATTCTCAATAGTAATTCACAGAAAACCCCTAGAGCGATCGATGACGTAGGATTGGAAACAACCTCGACAAACACAACTACGGAAGCGGTTCACACTCCAAATTGTGTAATCTCAAAAGAAATTGTGTCCGGCACAGATATTTCGAAAGCCCTCGACACTCTTCTCAGTAGCGTTGCCAAGTCACGTGGAATAACCGCTAATAACAATTCTGCAAGCGCGACTCCCCAATTCACGATTCCCGGAGCAATGGGGTCTGTTACGACTTCGGTAACGAATGATAGACCACAAGATGACATACTTCAATTGGCCAATGGAATTTCAGTTAGATACCTTGCTTTAGCTCGTGCTTCTGGTGTCGCCAATTTTCCTTACGATCAACTTGCAAGTATAAGAGCTGGATCTCCACGCAATGTATCCACTCAAGAGTTTTCGTTTGAAGCGTTTAATAGCCTTGTTGACAATTTTCGGAGAAATATTGAATCAACGCATGAAGGTCATGCGAATAATGAGGTCCTGGGAAAAATGAGGAGTAAAGCAGTCCGGGAAGGTTTCAGTGATGATAGTGATCTGGGCAGTCCTATCCCTATCGATATAAATGGTCAGGAGCTGGAGAGAAATTCAGTTCGTGTAGATAGCGTTGATCCGGATGTTGACGAAACCATGGCCATGGCAAAGTCAACGGATAGTGAAGAAGAAGATGATGAATATGGTTTCCTAGACAACATGCCAAGTAGTCATTACAACTGTGATAGTTGTCGAAAACCAATCGTGTTGCCCGAAGGCTCAATTATTAGTTTGATGAGCCTAGCACCCACCACATGTCTGCACTGCAAGACCCGGAAAGCTGCGGGGATCACACGCAGAAGACTGGGGGCTGGATCTCGATCAAGAATTGTTGCAGAATCTCCCATTCACGAATTAAGCAACCGGCTTTCACTTGACCGAGAAGATCAACCCGTGACAGATACTTCGTTTCATTCTTCGAAACCTGTTGCCGAGACATCAGCGCCACTCCCTGAGGCTCGCTCGGAACCGCTCCCAGTATCCCTCCCAGAACCATTATCAGAACCACTACGAGAATTACTACCAGACCAATTACCGGAGCCATTACCGGAACTACTATCAGAATCACCACGAGAACCACTTGTAGAGAATATTGAGCACCTTTCGCATTCGATAGAAATTGAAGACAGCGATTCTGGTGAGACGCCTCGGGACTCTGGGTCAGGCGATGCAGGCAATGTAAAACAGGAGTATCATAGAGGTACTTTGACCGTTGAGCTTCCGAGATGGCCCAGTTCTGCAAGCCAATGTCGTCCCGCGAATCAATTTTCAGCTAACAGCCAAATATCTCCGAGAGGTATGAAGCACAAGGTTGAGTACATAGAAGGTGAAGCTATCTATTCCTCTCCCATCGGTCCGAAACGACGCCGCGGCAGACCTTTAAAGGATTACCATGCGATCGTTTTAGACTCTTCGCCGGCAAACTCTTCTCAAGCTTCGACACCGACATCACGCCGAAGTTCACAAGTAGGTCTGAGTGGCAAGAAACGAGGCCGTCCATTTGGAAGTAAAAACAGTGTCAAACCAGAAGCAATAGATCACAATCAACCAACGAATGATACAGGAATAGCCAGACCAACGGGCCAGCGTCAATCTGCCAGGAAAACTCGGGAAATTCTACGCAATATATTTAGCGAGGAACTAGATTTCATGAAAGATGCGACATCCCTGTCTGGAGTACCAGCACAGATTCAGATTAATACTCGTTCGGCTGCTGGTTCTACAGTCTCGGACTTGCAGGCAACACCTGACCGTGTTATCCCAACTAATAGAAGGGCTCGGCGAGATTTTGATCCCGACTACATGCCAACATGGGAATTAGAAAATCGAAGCGGCACTATATCGAATGACAATTCAACCTTGTCTTCCATTGGTGGTGCAGTATCGAATATCAGCAACGAGAGCGGTACAATCGACAACACCTTGATCGAAGCTTTGGTGGAAAATTCAAGGGAACGTGGGACTCATAACCCTCTGAGGAGAAGCTCCGAGTATGGAACTGACTCCATACCATCTTCTCATCGGTTAAATATGAGTGTCAGGAGACAGGATGGAGAATTTCCCGTCGCTCAGAGCTCGATTTCGGACCAAGAGCAATCTCGTTGTGAGTGCCCCCAGCTATCTTCACCGGAACCCATTCTAACAATCAATTAGCCCTGCCACCTGTGCACCCAAGCGGCTTGTCATGTATGGAGAGTTTACAACCTGGGAGAGGAAATTTAGCAGGAAGAACACCGCCTGGGGAGCCACTGACTGATAGCTCGTTATCTAGCACATTGCCTGTAGGCACGTTGCCCTGGAATACCTTCAATCAAAACCCCGATCTGACTGCATTACCTGCCTCTTCGCCAACTGTCCAAAGTCTGCAAGAACGTACTCCAAAGGTTTGCTGCGGAAATCGGAGTTGCAGATTTAATAGTAGATGCGAAAAGAAACCCAATCGTAGGGAGAGGAAGAAGCAGAGAAGACTCAATGAACTTCTTAGCCAGGAACGACAGTGGTAAAATGGAAGTCACACGAAGAGATTTTGCACATAGCATAGGAAAGGTACATATTCTCAAGGAGGAAAATGGAGGAGGAGCATAGAAGGTCGTGAGTGAATGGAGAGTTAAAAATCTACAGGAATTTGATCAAAGGACTGAATGGATGAGATTTATATTGTAAAGCGTTCTCTATATCCCTTCTGATGAGCTCTAATTTATAGAAACAATCTCATGGGAAATCACGGTCGCGGAGTTGATACGCAGAGGTAATGCCACATACGTTATATTTGTTCTCTATATTGTCAAGGACTTCTGCACATACACAAATTGTATAGCATGTTGACGTTTATCCGGAGATATATCTACTCGTGGATGAATTTAAATAATACAGAATACAAACCAATTTCATGTGTACAATACCGGTACTATCAAGGTAATCTAGACTTCGAAGCATGACATGTTTATAATGTGCTATCGCATAGCTAGCTTTCGACTGAGAACTGTAGAAAAATAGATGAAGAGGCTCAATATACTTAAAATGCTATCTAGCATCATGTGAAGAAAACAATTGATCGTGAGATGGAAATGCATGTGGGCTTTTATACTTGAGGGTCTCTAACTAATGATGTCGGTGGCAATGATTTTATTCACAAAACGTGATTTGATCTAAAATACATGACTTGGGGTTCTATACTTTTCCATCTCGCGGGATGCTAATTCGTAGAGTTTGATTGAGATTAAAAGAAAGAAGATTGATGAATCTAGATAGGAGAGAGGAGACCGGGAAGGGAGTCGGGAGGAGGGGAAAAACGAGAGGAGAGGGCAGGAAACGCGAGGGAGACAATGTTATTGCATGATTTTGTCAATCACTTGCCCCTTTTTGATACTTAGCCCTTCATTGAAGAATTCATCGACGTTCTGGGATGTAGAAACAAACAGTATGATATATTGTATGAATATACGGGACATGACAATCGAGTAGGTATACGAGGAGCGCAACGAGAAACCCTATAACCTGTGTGTTTGATGTTGACCTGAGGATCGTGTTTAGTACCACGCCTGAAACGAGAAATGGGAATCTGGTCTGGAGATAATGACACGGTTTTGGCTACCGGCTACTTCATACTCTTATGTCAGAGATGGTAAAATCAATTTCTTATTCACACACCGTAATGGAATTTGTTTGTTTCCAAACTCTTTAAAATTGGTGAATATCTATCAAAAGGCCACTTGTTCAATTCTAGTTTCCTGATCTATCAACCTCCCGAAACATAAATAGATCACTCTTTTCATTTAGTTCCAAAACAAAGTCAAAGATCGAACCATCATTTCCATCCAACATCATGGACACCAACGTAGCATATCCCGAAATCAACCCAGAGTCCCAAAGAATCATCGAAGATCTCGCTGCAGGCATGAGAGAAGACGAAGGCTTTGCCGAATACACGAATGATCGAGAGACAGAATTACAAATATACATCGAGGAGCGCCGAGCGCATCTCAAGATTTTCATAGAGGAGCGTCAACTATATCGACAGATGTATCTAGAGGAGCGCCAAGCAGTCTCGAGAAGGAACGCAAGGAGGGCCGGTTCAATCAATTCATGACTCACGTTGTCACCGTATTGTTGGTTGCTTTGTTCATGTACAATGTGTACAAGTACTGCGTCTGATGTACGTAATTCTCCACTCCTAAGTTGTTAAATTCTTACCAATGTGTGTATTTGAACAGATAATGGAGTTTTGATTAACGCTTTTGCTCCTGTCGATTAACGTCTATTCGATGGAGGAGAAAATCTACCTCTTCTACACACAGATCCTCAACATCGATCAAATAAGCAATGCACAATCTTTGGGCAATTTCGAATGGATGATTTGAAGAGCAATAAAGGGGTGATGAAGTAAACAGGTTGTGGAGTCGCATTGAGAGTGATGGCCGGAGGCAAGATACGAATAATCACAAAGACACTCTTTCTATCTCGAATATGAGGAAACTTCACTCATTCCGTCTGTGATCAAGATCATGATATGCAATAATGATAAATTTGACTTTAATAACCCATAACGGATGAAAATTCGACGCTTTATGAATATCTCGGAGTCTGAGAACGTGCATACCTGTATTGTCGGGAATGATAAACACCCGTAGGAAAATGCCGATTCTGCATCACTCTCGAACAATATGCTCTTTCCAGTAAAAAATGGGAGACTTGTACAGTCTAAGCTCTTTCCAAACACTACTGTCGCCTGAACTTGCTACAGATTCTACAATATAACCTAACAAACTGACAACAACATGAGCCGAATAACATATACTGTCAAAATATCCGAACGCGATTTTGATTGGACTACGTAAGTTTTCATCAGCAAGTCTTTTGTTTCTCCGAATGAAAGATGAATTAACCAAACAGCCTTAACTCACTTGTTCCAGTCTACAACTTCCAACACTTCCGAATCTGTAAGATCGTGATGAAGTGTAGCTTCATTACTGAGTATCAGGAATCTTCTTCATTATATGACCACAAAATCAAATACCCACATCAAATATACGGATTAACATATGAGAGAAGAGCTTGACCTAATTTCATTGGCATAGCTTTTTCAGGAGAAATTCGGTAAAGTTTCAATATAGTATGCTCTATGAAGTTCTTCCATTTCTGTATACAGCACTCCATCAAGACTTTGATGGCTATACGGCTACTTACCTCCACAGATTTAATCTCACGCCTCATGGTCTCATCCCAGCTCTTCTAACCATAGCGTGCATCGCATGATAAACTTCAAGGCCAGAGTCCCCACAACGCAAAAGTGTAGGTATCCGTACAAAAGCCCTGCAACTTCACGTATTCACTGAACATTCATAGAAGTATACACGAACTCGAACCCGATATTCAACTCCAGGCCCGTCTCAACGCCCATCAGTTTAAAGATGCTCTCCGCTCACCACCCATTCTATTTCTTCCTTCCTCCCTTTTCCATTGTCAGTAAACAACTTTCTCTGCTTGGCAACGCTACTACCACTACCACTCCTGCTCCCACTGGGATTCTCAGAACTTGTATTTCTACCCTCCCCATCTAATGCACTTACTCCCCCGAATTCCTCATCATCCCTTTCTAAACTGCTTGGTCCCTCGATCGCCCCATGACCTCTCTCAAAGATCTTATCAACATCTTCTAATTCCAAACCTTTGGTCTCGGGAAAATAGAGATATATGACTGGAATCCAGCACGCATTTAGTACCCCAAATACTATGTAGGTCTTGTAACCTATCTTGTTTAAGGCGATTGGTGTAATTTGAACGATCGTGTAATTGAAAATCCAGTTACATGCTGTGGAGACCGAGGAACCGCGTTGGCGAAGACGGAGAGGGAGGATTTCAGAAGGATAGACCCAGACCTAGGAGTGAAGGACGATGAAGGTTAGTATTGGCAAAAAATCAGTGGAGTGGTTAGGATTTCGTTCGTGAATGCGGTACAGAAGCTGGCGAGTTTTTTCGTGGAGTAATCAGATATGTGAATACTACTCACTGTCGCTTGAAATCCAATAGTGAAAGCCCCTTCAAAAACAAACAACATCACTGCAGCACCAATGCCACAACCTTTTGCAATCGATGTATTATTTTGCACATTGTAGATCAATGCGGTTTGCACAATCATTACAATTGACATGACTGAAATCATTGACAAGAGTAGAGGGCGCCTCCCAATTCGATCAATAAGTAACCAAGGGATAAAACTCGCGGCAAAGAACCAAGTTTGGAGAAACCCCGACATAAGCGCACTGAGATGATCTGTAAATCCTAGGGAAGTTGAGAAAAGTGTATTGGAGTAATATATCAATGCGTTTATACCGCCTAATTGTTGAAAAGATTGAATGGCGCATGCAATTAAGAATCGACGTTGTGATTGGATTGCATCGTTTTTGAACAGGTCGCTCCAAGAGCCTGTTCCTAGCGATTTTTCAAATTCGCAAGTCCGGACAATGTCTAGGTGTAAAGATTCGATTTGCTCCTCTGTCATGTGATATGAATGTAATCGAGCGAGAACAATCAACGATTCATCCGTTTTCTCGTGCGCAGCTAGCCATCGAGGAGATTCAGGAACTATGGCGAGCAAACCAAGCATTGGTACTAAGAACATACATTGGAGAATCGTCGGTACTCTCTAGGAAAACGAGGCAGTGTACGATTGCGTGAAGCCGTAATCGATCCAATAGGCCAAGAAGATCCCAAAGTTCAGAGTCGATAATTGCATGCAGACATCTGTGATATAGTCAGTATACTGGTTCTTCTGCGGCTCACGAGTGTTCTTACACAATCCTCTTGTTGCTTTGGGACTGAACTCTGCTTGAAAAACAGGGACAGTACTATTTATAAATCCCATTCCTACTCCAGAAACCACTCGTGCTACGATTATTTGAGCTCTCGTGTATGCTGATGCTTGCAATAATGCCCCAATTATCATGATCACTACTCCTATTCCAATTGATTTCTTCCTTCCAATGTCATCTCCAAACACAGATGTAGCCACACTCCCTAAGAAACACCCCACCTCATAGATAGCGACGATCAGGCCAAAGATGGCGGGGTCAGGATTGTTGAAAGTATCTTTGAACCCTGTTGCATTAACGAGTCTGCCATGAATTGTTAGTTGCAGGCAGTTCAATGGCAGTGTTTAAAATCAAAGAGATGCATTGAAACTGTATGGAATAAGGTTTACCCTCCCATCAAACCATTATCATATCCTATGAGCAGAAATCCAAGACATGTTAGTGATGTCGCAGCCGTAAAGAGCGCTCGACCTTCGAGGTCTGGCATTGCGGCGAGAATTGAATTAATTAGGAATTGCCGAGAAGAATTCTGAATAAAAGGTATTCAAGCAATTCGTTTGTAGCAATCGACGGATAAGCAAAGAGTCTGGAGGCATCTGAACGCCGTTTCAGAGCGCAATGAAGTCGTAAGAAAGCCTCTAAGAGACTTTATGATTTTGCTTTATATATATCTCATGTAATACTATTGGGTGCCGTGGCGTCTGTTGCTGAATGATGAAGATGAGAAGCTTGGGTATCTTTGTCTTGTAGTAAATATAAGATATCTAGCCTAAATTGATAAGAAAGGAAACACGAAACCCGTCATCGTAGATTGAATGAAATCCGGGGAAATGGTGAACTAATGAAGAACTGGGAAAGGGACATTTCGGCAATTGAGACTAAAGTGGGGTAGGTGCGTGTGACTGAGGGGTAAACCAGGAAAGAAGAGACCCTAGCAATTCCGTAAGTGGGACATGTTTGCTCGGCATGTAGCTCATCAAAATGTCAATTGAGATTCAAAATGAATCAATGTTTGGATCTTTGAATTTCTCAATGGTATAATATAAAGTGTTGAATCAATAACTGATAATCATACTGTGTTTGAAAAGATACTTTATTGAGACTTTGTGATTCTTGATGTCGATTCTGATGTGCCGAGCTTATTAGTTGTGTGCCTAGCATAGTAGCTCCTCGCCTAAACTTTTTTTAAGGTTTCGGCTTGAGACAGTTAGACCTCAATAGTGCATTATAAACTTTTTTGGATTACGATAATCCATTGATAAACTCAACAGAGAAAAGCGCAGAATGGAATATTCATTTGTTCGCCGATTCATCGTAAGATCTTACTATGCTGGTGCAAATACTTCCGAGTTTTGGGTACATGTTCGCAACTCAGAATTCGAAATCAGCAGGCGAGAGGTGACAACTTTCGACTTATAGCCTGTAGAAATCAATCATCGGTGCCCATTAGGGTCAGCTTATGTACCAACCGGCCCCTGGAAGTTTTGAAGCAGGTACGACATAAAGTTATGCAGACATTCATCTCCGGACCCGGCACAAAATCAGAGGGGTCTCGGGCCATTATCATTGGGATTAGCATCAACTCCAGCACCGGTCCAGGTATCTCCTAAGAACGGGGTCCAAAGAATGTAATCGATGTCAAAAATCCAAAGTTCTCTAGGCGTGGCCATTCTTCAACCAGGAGACTGAAATAACACCGTTGTCAAATATGGCTCCAACATCATATCCTCTCATCAACACCATCAATACCGCAGCAAGTAATACCTCTCTGCTACCATTGATATCAGAAATTTATCCATCGGTACAGAGCCCCACCGTGTGGTAGATTTGTCAAGCGGAGGATCATGGCTCAAATATGACAGCAAGATTTGCAACAATAAATAAAAGGCATTAATGACAATACTTACACACCAGTGATAGCAAATATACCAAATCGCCAAACGGTTGTGAGAGAGTCTATCTATTGATAGGGACAACGAGATGAAAGTATCTTACATAATATACCCTACCATACCAAGAGATTCTACAATGCTTCATGCATATGGAGTATTTCGATGAATATTGAGTTTGATTGCGATTATGAACGCGTATAACCGTGCTAATTGTGACTGGTAATCTTACGCGGCCTGAAAATGGCACACATGCGAGACGAATTTTGCTGCAGACATCACTCGAGGGAAGGAAGGAGGCTGAAAAATGGTGAGATGATCAGAGGAGGAAGGAGAAGAGAATAGAGATGTGGATAGCAACTTCCAGATTTACATCACCTTTTCGCCAGCTGCTTTACTGGTCAGCTCAGCTTTCTGAATATGTCTTATTATACTCAAAGATTTCAAACAACAGTTCTATGCAGCAGGAGTTCTCTAAATGGGAATACAAATAAAGCACAGTATGCACAGAAACAAAATATGGCCAAATATGAAAGCAATTTAGAGTAAAACTTCATGAAATAGGGTATCTAAATTAAACAATCTTCGCCATCATCCCCACATCACAAGAGGAAACAAATAATAGTAACCACCAGCAGATATACAGCACACTCTCTCTATCCAATTTTTCCGCTTTAATTCCATTTAGTAACCAAACACAACATGTGGAGTTCTGCTCTCCTCTCTGTATTGAACCAGGCAGTAAGCCAAGTAGTGTTTCTATGCCAGTCGCACAGGTATATTACTCGTCTGCCCGTTATTGTATTGAAGATTTGGACACACCAGAGGACGACAAAGATTGCAGAACGATGGATTAAATATCGTCAGCTAGGAGAAAACGACAATGACGTAGACAACAGGCGGAGACAGGACGGGCGGACGAAAGACCAGCAGGCGATAGACAGCAGAAAACGAAAATAGTTGATAGTGAGAGTTGCAGATGACGAAAACGCGACAAAGATAGAGAGAATTTGGGAATGCAACTGGGCGGTAGTGAGAAGACGAGAGAGGAATGCAGGCGGAAAGGAAAAGGGAGATTGAGTTATCGTAGGAGAAAAGAGGCGTCGAGCTCAAGATCGGTTTCAAGGACTTTTGCCCAATTCTAACCAGAAAACCAATCAGTCGTTGCTTTTAAGCATCTCCTGCTCGCTCTTTGCGCGCCATCTCCGTTCTCTATTTCCATTGCTTGTGACTATTCGAGACACAAATAATTAGATTCTTTCAATATATTGTAAAATCAACAAAGCTTCAATACAAAACGGCCAATCGACAACAAGTGGTAACTTACTTTGGATGGAACGAGCACTTCCCCCCCGAGCTTTGATAAGCACAGCTCATGCAAACTCCTCCCAATGGTTGTCTGACACTACCAGGCTGAGGTGGGACCACAACACATTCAGAGAACAGTCCATTACCAGATTTGCAGTAGCTGCAAGGCTCAGGGACTACTTCACCCACTAAGTATCCGGCAGTTGCATCCCAGTAGTCGGGGCGCGAGCGATAGAACTCTTTGTGTGATTTCCGTAGAGAGAGCTGCCTGCGAAGAGGCATGGCCCTCAGAAGGTCAAGTTGTTTGCGGTGTGGAACATCAGGAGGAAGGGTTTCTGTTCTTGCTTCTTTGGTTAAGCGTGCCATGATGGCAGCGCGGATGGGGTCTGGTTTCTCTTCGAAATTAGTATCGACAAGAGCGGCGCCTTCGGCTGGACGCTTGGCTACAGTAGAAAAATGACTTCTGGAAGGAGCTGGAACTGGAGCTTGTGATTGCGCCGACACTTCCTTTGAGCTGCCGAGATCCATGGAATCATCACTATCATCACTATGATCGCTATCATCACTACCGTCATAGTCGGCTTGACCGAGAGAAGTTGGTTGACGTGGTGCAGGAGAAGGATAATAAGCAGCGCTATGAGAAAGATTGTCCTGGCATGGATGCAACAATTGAGATGAATGAGGAGCATTGATGTGAACTGATCTTAATTCCCGATCAGCTGCTGCCAGTCGCGCATTTATGACATCTAATGGCCCTTCAGGATATTTATAGTCGCACCAGTGTTTGTAGATCGAAAAACCATAGTATTCGTGTAAAGCGTTTGTTGGAGGGGATGAGGCATCGGGAACAGAGGCCTCGTCTCCGTTGTAAGACATTTCTATTTTCGATGGAAATAACGTGGAGAAAATATGATTGAATCCTTTGTATTTGAAAGTAACTGGCGAAAGAGATTGATCTTTGAAATTTGAAGTTGTGTTGTTGAAAAGTGTAAAGGATCAAAAAGAGACAACGCTTTTGCTTTGTGGTGATAATTTAGGAGACTAATGGTCACCACGCCGATGTCTATTGTTTTGTTGATAATGAATCGACCAACCATATGAGGAAAATTAAATACTTCACTCAGCAACAGAAACTACGCATCGACGATAAATTTTTCTTCGGCAAAAATTTGCCAGCTTGAGATATCACCCATGTGTAAACTTCTCTTCCAACGCCATCAATCGCTACGAGCTTGGTGAGTATTCTTTGCTCTCGAAACTCTTCAATCCCCCCTTTGTCATTCTGGAAAGGTACCTTTGGGGAATATCTTCTGGCACATTCAAATCTGAGCTTCTCAAAGCCTTCACCATGTCCACCTACCTAGGCACATAACGAAATTCCTTCGAAATTCACTCAAAGAGCAACAGAAACGAAGTGCACAACTCCACCATCGCAATCATCTTTGCGGTAACTCAATGCTATCACTATAGCCTCCTCAACCTACTCTGCAGTCTTTCAATATCTTTCGATGATCGTAGAGGCGATTTAAGCTATAATAACCTGCACTGGTTCCTCGAAAGGGATTAAAAATGATAGTTGGGTGAAACAATATTGCAAAGAAAGTTGGAACAAGGGAATTTCAGCCTGTCAATCCTTCAGTCCTTCGAAGTTCCACAACCCCACGGTATATCTAAGCTTTTCTGGATACATCACTTTTATCTAGACGAATGATCAGTCTAACTGGCTTGACGGCGGCAAAAATGAAGAAAAAAAAAAATATACCATCGTTTTTGCTGTCGACCGTCAATATGACTATAGCTGCCTTGCTAGCTCCGGGACTTGACACATTCTCGACAATCACACGGCGCGCGCAGAAGACCCCTCATATTCAGGATGCCAGCATGGAGAAACAGTGAGCGTCAACAGTTGACAGCACGGATACCTCCAACCAGTTTCTCGATAAATCTTAGCGCTATCGATCTGCTAGCCGACGGCTTCCTTCCTCTTTAGCAACCTGATCAAATTTATTCATCGACTCATAAATATTGGATTGCCGGTGGAAAATGCCACTAGGTCGCAAGAATGAGCAGCGAGGGCTGGCGATTTACGGCAATGACGACCGTTTGGAAACTACTTCCTTCTTTCAAGAAGAATTACAAAGGGTTTCGCGAAGAACTGTTTGAGTTCATAGTCAAGGAACAGAAGACGGGGCTTGTTCGACATGTTTAATGGTTATCGATGTCATCACCGTTCTTCTCGAGCTGCGACAGCTGATTAGAACTCGAAAGACGATTTATTCGCTTGGAATGACGATATAGTAATAAGTGTATTGATCTTCCTTCCCTTTAAAACTGTGAGCTTTGTTTTAGCTCTCATCTGGTATGCTCGCGGCAGCCTGTTGTCCACTCCCCTTCCTTGTCGATGGCCTTGCTCTCATTGTGAATTTCGATCGAAAGACTGGACCAGCTCTTTTCAGCAGCAGTTTTACTAAATCCGAAGAGTTCACCCTCAGTTTAACTTGGGTCATGGTACATGGGGGTTCGAGCGGCACCTAAAATCCAAAATGGGGCCATGTTCTCAAGTTCTTCGCAGCGCATTGGTACTGATGCTAATTTAGCTCGCTGGAGCTGATATCAGTCGGTTGACCAAACTACTTAATACAGACTAGAGACAATTCTCCTATGGATCCAGGCAAGGGCCCACGTCTTAGAGTAAGCCGGTATGGAGAAGTGATCCTCTGACTTTCTAGATCTTCTCTTTCAGACTAAGTCATTCATCTCACAACTTCAGAATCCGACAACACCTTGAGAAAGCCAATCCACATGGACCTCTTTCGGGGTCCTGCCAGCATCAAAACTCTTTTTCGTATTTTCTCTTCGCTCTTTTCAAAAACTTACTAGTTTCACAGAAAATATCGCCAATCTATAAGCCTAGGTAGCTCGAATCCGATTACGTGACCTCTTAAGATGCCACATATAGCTTTCAGGAGCATTTTCAAGAGAACTAGAATCCACAACGGGTTGAAACAGGCTACAAGTTGGCTATCATCTCGATGTTCTGCAGCATTTCTGTAGACCCTAAGATTAGGCGGAATGCAACCACAACAAACACTATGTCCAATTGATTGACTGAGCTGCCCCAAAATCCTTGTCTTCGTTGTAGTCAAAGATCGTGGGTTTTCAAGCTTGCATGAAACAGTGAAAATATCTCATATGAGCAGGCCAATTTCTCGCCGACTTGCATGTCACTATACCAGCCTCGAGAAGTAGAGAGATCTCGAACAATAAGTATGTGGATAAAGCATCAAAGTAAAAAGTTCCACTGGGAATCTTCTATCTAGATATGTCGCTTTATGAAACTTCAAAGGTATAACCCGGCCCAGTGCAAGTATGAGCTCTGTTACTTCCAAGTCAGCTATAAAGAGGTGACAGAACATCTACTCGCACTATAGCATCTACAGCGGATATAGAAGGCACCTGAAATTTGGAGCGTTCCCAAAGCCAAGACAAAAGCGACTATCCTGCCTATGCGACCTTGAAGCGAAAATACTGAACCAAGACAGCAGGACTCATGCTGGTTCTAGGCAAGCTCCACATATTCGCTTCCCTTGAAACCTGATGTACGTCTTTTAGTCAAGGTAGGTATTAAGTGCTCGCCATCCTACAGATCCATCACCAGCATGAGAGCTAATAGCTTTAGAACAAACAGTTCATAAATAATGCCTTTAACTCTCGTCCGCTTCAAAAATCGGCCAAAGAACCGCCATAGATGTGTGGTAAGAAAATAGTCGATGTCCACGTCCTATGTTGGATTGGTCCTTGGGTGAGAATATCAAGAATAAACACCTCATTAATATGTTTAGCGAAGCGGTGCTGCCAGGCCGGCCATCTTCTTTGGTCCACTTGTCGCGTCGAGGAATTGTGCTGGCAATTCTGATTGCCTTTTCCAGACCCAGTTAAATGACTAAATCATGATATTCGGAAAGAAGCTCATACGCCATATATCAGAGGGCGAGCTAGCTAAACTAATTCGAAGGTACGCTTCCCACACTTCCTAATATCTTTGGTTTATACTGACAGAACGTACTCAGTCTATCCTCGAGGGTGCATGCCGCTTCAAACGCACATTTCGTTCCTTGATATTCCAGCACATGTGTATGTTTAAGCGTCATTTCAAGACTCCAGCTTACCTTGGTATCTGTTCCATGCTATTAATGGCAGGCTATAAGCCCAAAAATGGGACGTGTGAATCATGAGCAGAAGATCGTCGTCAAGGTGATTTAGCCATGAAGCTTAAAGCAGATGGCAAGAAACATGTGTAATTAAGGTGTTTCGTGATGATAGCTAATAATTTAGATGTCTCTATCGACTCGTCTATAGGTGTATCGATTAGTTAAGAACCAAGAACCTGATTATCATTCAACTTGTACCTTGTGAGCCATTACAGTCTCCGTACACTTTTTGCGACATACTTCCTCAATCACACGACAAACTCCACATTGGTATCCTCTGATACTTCCATCCATCATCCATCCTGCTTCCGTGCGTCATTTTTATGGAAGTCTGTGAACTCCAACATGGCAGATCTAAGTTGAAAAACAAAAATTAGCAAATGGAGTTCTTTGATGGAGCTCTTGTTTGAAACACTTCCGGGGAAAATTGCCAAGAAACTGCCCAAATAGGCGCATTCAACTTTGTGTAGTTGATCAATTCTTGATCAAATCTCCTTCCCTAATTATAAAACTCTTGATAATGAGACGATGTTATCAGTATGAAAATGCCTAGAACAGAATAAAGGAGCAGGCCTGCGATACCCAATTTGCAAGCCTTTTCTTACAAATGTTTTGAAGAGCAAATATTGAATTGGAAATTTCATAGGAAACTTTCAAGAGAACTTCACTTACCCATGAATGTCAAAATTTACACCAAAATTTTGACTTTTGTACACAATTTTTGTTGTTTTCTTGATTTCCCTGCTTCCAGATGGGGGATGGAAATCACTCTATTCTGAAACAAACAAACAAACAAGAAAGTTTGGAAGCAGACACGCCAGATTCACAATTTAATCTCACTTTGCCTCTTTAAGTATGTTAGCCGAAGAGGCTCGAGCACATTCATGCAGTTTTTCAACTCAAAATAAACCAAATCTGAACACTTTACATCTTTCATTCAACAATCCTATTCTCTATGAACAATTGTGTAGATAACTATTCTTGGGTACAATTGGAGTCTCTTGAGTCTTCTTCAAAGTCTCGATAGAGACAACTTTATCACATACAGTATGAAGAAGCAAACTGAAAAATTTGTCTGTCTTCACATCACTTTCATTCACTGGTGACTATTCTTGGGATCGATTCATGGGAGATGGATTCTAATGTATCAAGCATGAATAACGGCTCAATATTCTTGCTTCATCCTCATTTATACCATAAAGAAAGCCTATTTTATAATCTACAGGATTTTCACAGGTGGTACGATTGCCACACTCGATAACCTCGAAAGTTATCCCGGGGAAGTCGAGCCATCAAAATACACTAATTTATGCGCTAAGGCTTCTCATTCTGGCTAGAAATACTGATCGATCTCAACACATCAAGAAGCCTTTTTCCCCCTACTCACTGATGCGCCCCCACAGACTGAATGAGTGAACTTGGCCTCTGCACATGAGAGCCAGCGAGATAGGCAATTCTTGCGCTTGCAGCATTGGATACGGGCACTGGCAAGCTGCGATAATATTGGAAACATTGAAAAAACGAGACATCTGTCTGCCATTAAAGAAACTATGAGGCAAAGAGAAGTTCCTGTGAGCCGACTCATCACTAAATGACCTTGAGTATTCGGATACAGCCTAATCTGGACATATGAAATGTATCTAAAGGATTTATGAAGATTTGATGGCCAGCACTGGGCCAACCTGAATTCGTGGGAGTGTCCTAATTACCACAATCTACCGGCTCCACCCCTTAAATCCACCTTCTTCATATTCGAATCTGTGGATTGGCTACTACTAAACTTCGGAATCTTGGTCACAAACAGAGTGGAATAGTAGACCCTCTCTTCGCTTCCGAGTCTTAGTGTTCTTGGTATCAGACCTTTAGTGCAGATAACGATTAGTCTCTTCAATAACTTGGCTCTTCATGGCTGTTCATATGCATTCCTCGGTTGAGTCACAATATTTATACGTTTAATTTCAATGATTATGGTTAATTACAACCTGAATGCTAACTTTATTGCACCTCTTTACTATTGTCATATAAAGTAGGCTTTACCCGTGCACATTTCATTCTCACTAAGTAAACCTGAAATCATCACCTAGCTATCTGCATATCTTTCCAATGAAATCATGTGCAATCTCTCATTCTAATAATTTTCAACCCCGAACTCACGCATATACGACTGGCCATCTTATTCAATACCAATCATTCTCCCCTTTCTTTTTTTATCTTTTGCAAAATAACTCCACCATGAATCAACCAATCATAACCTATCTCATTGAACCTCTCCACCAATCAACCCCTTAACTACCCAACCTCGTAAGGATAAATGCAAGTAATAAACGCCATTTTGTTCCACGTGGTGGCTTTGCTAACATCATTTATTATTTTTCTATTCTCGGCTTGTTTGCATTTGTGACACCTCAAACTTTTGGGCTTCTTGTATTCTTACAATAGCGAATGTAGGGAAAGGTGTAACGTTCACTGTGGGCTGATTTTAGGAGACAGAATAATTCGCTTGTTACATCAGTCTACATCAGTCAGTCCAATGATATACTCATCACTCATCATCTCCATGATGTCTCTCCCTATATATCGCAACCAGACATACATCCCTTCCGCCCACTTCCTTTTGCTACTTCCCGTATCGCAAAGCGCCAGTGGCATTTCATTTATACCTTCTACTTGATTCCTTCCAGCCACTTTTCCAGCACGCTAATCTCTCACACAAAACAAACGAATGGAAGGATGCAGAGTTGTGACGCCATAAGCCACCCTAATGATTTTGATAAAAATCCTCCCGCACTACAGTAGCAAGTCATCACCGATTAATGAAAAGAATCTTGATAGGATGTCGACAAAAGTTGAAGAAACCCTACCATTTCCCACCCCCACAACTAATCGGTACATGTGCGAAATAAACATCATGCGATAAAGCATTGTCCATTTCGTACACAAGTTACCACATGTCATTATCGCAACTGCCGAAACTATAATTAATCTGTTAGTTAGATATGCGAGCTGTGTGTTTTGTATGGATGTTATACGATTGCCTCCTCACATGTGCACTATCGTAATTAGTTATCATTACCACCTTACCACACCACACCACACCATATCAAATACAACATTGCGCTCATACCTTACACTACACCATGGTGTCATACTGATACAATACAATACAACACAATACAAGGAATGTATCTGCACAGCATAACACTACATAACACTACATCACATCGCGCACGAGGTCTTTCCTTGAGCCTCCACCGCACCCCGACTTTAATTTATTTTGGGCAGAAATGTAGAGTGAGATTTTAATACCGACGTGAGGTTACTCGGCAAGGCAGATAGATGAACGCATGATTATCTCATGCAGTTCTATATGTTGTGTGGGCAGGGGATGAACAGGTAGGTGGCTGGATATTCTCGGTGAACAGCGGTGCGAAAGTGCTGTTTTTATAACTAGATTGGTTAAGTTTATATGATTTAGACCTACAGTCTAGCTTCTTCGATGGATATTATCCGTTTGGGGAGCACCAGACTAATCACTCTATATTATGCGTTGATGGAGAAATGATCTAGCGATATATTAACTGATTAGCTACTATTTTATTATTCATGTTACAATCTCCTTCCAGTAAATAATACTCAAACCCAACCCTGAGAAACTCCATCATCAATCACCGTGAAACGATAAAGTCGACTTCACTTCACTCCATCTCCTCATCCATCCATCTAAGAAATGCCCTGCCGTTTTCAAACCACACCTACCAATACTACCATAAGTCAGATCGGCTTTCTCACTTCAATCACTCCGATCCCGATTCACTTTGCGTCATCCCATTCCCGTTCCCATATCATTGTCCCTTCCCGTTTTCCTTCCCGTCCTATTCTCCTCCCACCTCTCCATCACAATCCCTACCCATCCAAAATCTAATCAAATAATAGAATTGAAAACACAACATCAGATGAACCTCCCCTTTAACTAACTGACACTACAAGATTTGGATATAGATATATGCTTACATAGATATATGCACCAGTACACTTCAATAAGCATGCATGCACATACACAGGTATAGATAGGTACAGATACTGAAATTGATGAATGTAGCGAGCAACTAATTAACTAATTAACTAACCAACTAACCCACTGACTGAGTAAACAACAAAATAATACTTCAACACCCCCATCCCCATACTCAAATACACGTCCGCATACACATCCACATACATGCACACCATAAACCATGCAAGCCATCACAATATCACCACTGTTGCCTATATCTGTCGTGTATTTATACACAAGATACGTACCAAATTTCACCTCACGAGAGCTAGTTAATAGGGCAGACTGCATACCGGTAGGCTAAGGTACGAGTATAGGGCTGAGTCGGTTGCTAGTGGTGCTTTTAGTAATTTTGATAAAGATGGATTTTTAGGATTTTTAGGATTTTGCTAGTCTATTTGATTTTTAATATATTACATCATGCGCTAGCGTACGCTAATATACTGGATAAATTTCAATATTAGTAGGAGTTCTCACTCCCAAGTATCCTCCCTATATTATAAAAAATGTTTTTGATGACTCGATATTGTGCAACATTCTTTCCGTTGACCTATTCCGCGCCTGTACGCCGATCTTATTCAGTTTCCTTCTTTATCCCATCCTAGTATCTTGTATCCTTTCCCATCTTGTAGTTCCGTAGCAGCCTCATGATACAATATTATTTGAGCCTCAATTATTCCTCCATACCCGATCCATACCCAAGCCGATCTCATGGAATCATAAACCACCCAATACGAAGTTCCAAAGGCGTCACCACACTCGTCGTGTTCCAGCACAACCTATCTTGTCCAAACCCAGATCCAGTGCGCCCACGTCTTGAAATTCTCCATACTAATTCCCTGGTCCGGAAACTCCAATCTTCCCTTTCTCTTCTCACTCGCAGCTTGAATTGTATTCCGTAAATCATTTGATCTTTCCGGACCCCAATTTCGTATTTTTAGTCCATGTTTATTGATTTTATAGCCTATGATTAGAAGAATAAACACTGGAACCTACCCTGTGTTAGTCCAACAAAGTCAATAGGAGAGCCAAGGAAGCCAAAACGTACGGACACGTAACTCGCAACGAACCTTCTGGCATCAAAAGGTCTTTCAAGAAATGCAGAAACACCGTTAAAAGTAACGAGAATAATGCATGCAGTCATGCCATAAAACCCTTTAAGCCATTGACCATGCGATTTGTATGGGTAACGTGGATGATCGCGGTTATAATGCGCCGCTTGCCTCTCAGATGCATTTCCATACAGTTTTGTATCCTCGAGTCTGTTATTTGTGGCGTTAGTGGGCTGCATGAATGAAACACTAACGGTTGGGGAAAGGCAAGAGAAAAAAGAAAATTGAGACATACGTCCGGAAAAATCCGAGATAAGTAGCACAAATCGTGGCGTAGACGATAAGAATCGACGAAGTGCAATTTGAAGCCAATTCACTTAGTCGCTATTATTTCCTGTTAGTTTCAGCGTATTGCGATAAACGGATCGGTGTATATACTCACAATCGCAGTTGTGCCAGTTCTACCCATGAAAGCCACTAGAGCCATAGCAGCCGTTGCTAATACCGCTCTGATTGGAACACCTGATCGAGTTTGCCTCAATCTCCTTGCAATAAATTCTGGTCCAGCCTGATCCTGTAAAGCCAAAGTATGTAAGACTCTCGATGCCACATACATAGAATTGATAGCACAAGTAAAGGATGCAAAAGCGAAGATGGCGTTGAAGAAATGGGCCATTGCTGGCAATCCCGCTTCGACGACTGCAATAACAAAAATTGAGTGTGCGCCAACCGATTGTCCCTTTCCATTGATGAAAGGATGAGTGTATGGCACTATAAAAGATGCTGTGATCATGGCCATAGTATAGAGAGTAACGATACGGATGGAGATCTTTCTTGCGGCCATTTTCATACTCTCAGCATTAGCAAGCGATTTTGATTCTGCCGCAGTTGCTGCTACAATATCCATTCCAGTATATGAGAAGATAACATTAATGATAGTTGTCCTGTAGAAATAGTCAGCTACCTATAAGCGCTGGAGATCGTGATTCGACATACCACATCCCAAGGAATGAGCCAGCAGGACCTTCAATCTTTCGCTGCAGGTTTCCTGTTTCATCTCGAACGGAGTAGGCGTGGTTGAAGAATCCCCACGGATGACACCAATCTGAACATATCAAATCAGTAAAGCAACAAAGTACTTCACGGTGAAGGATCCTCACATTTAGAGTTCGGGGGTGATGTGTAATAAGCATCAGAGCTAGCTATCGGGGTGTCAGCACAGAATAGTCAGTTAAAGAATGATGTACGTACGTTGCTTAGTGTCAAGAATAAGCATCAAAACAATGACCATCGTGATGAAAATGATCTTGATGCAACCGAAAGCATACTCTAGTTCTCCGAAATACTGTGATTTTATTAGTAGTGGTAATGATCGGTGGTCGCTGCTGGATACTCACTTTGACAGGAAACATATTGATAGCAGTAACAATTATTAGGAACAATCCAATCCAAACAGCAGGGTCGACACTCTCTCCAATTGTCCAAGCTAGAAATGTTCTTCCATCATCATAATGAAATCCAAGAGTTCCGGAAACCGCAACTAGTTCTTCTGCGGCAGTGACAGCCCACGCGAACCTTCTGATCGTCAATATTCTGTCTCGATCTAAATCATGATTGAAATTACGTACCAATACATCCACCCAACGGCAAACCCAACGCCGCGATCTAAGAATCTTCGAGGGAACTCCACAACTGGGGCATTGACAGGCATAAGAGCGGTCATTTCACCTAAGCAAGATATAACAGACGAAACCACTGTTCCCATAATAATGTACGCCATGACGGCGCCGCCTGGTCCGGCTCCGGCAAGGGATCGACCACTACCAAGAAAAAGCCCATTTCCAATTGTGCTGTAGCCATACTCTGTTATTTATATGCTTGAGTACAATTTGATTTTGAGAAACGTACCCAGAAAATGCTATCATCTAGCATGCGATATACGCCGTTAGCCATTGTTTCTGCCAAAAACAAGCTCAGCCATAGCTCAGCAACTCACGTTAATGTGCCGTTCACCAAGTGTTCTCCTAATGATAATTAGTGGTCGCAAAGATTGAATAGTACAGGTTGGCGCACCACAAACTCTCCCCTCGGCGTTCCCGACGGTCTTCAGGGTAATTGGGCTCTGCATCTGGACTTGTCCGACTTCGAGTTTGATCGATATCGAACTCGAATATTTGCGGTGGAATCACCGCTTCAGGTTTTTCATGATCCATCGTAACAATGTTGCAGTCGAAGTTTCGAGTGAAAAATATTATGACAATTCGCGCAAAGTAGGTCGAAGGAATCAGGGTCGCCCTGAATCGTATATATCTGCACTGCCTTGATGCAGACAATCCTCCGCATTATTTAGCCCCTGTACGGGCGGAAGGTCTAATGTAACCACATAGAAGGGACGACTAATTACATCGCACAAAGCTGATGCCTACATACAGGGACCCCCGCATCCGCCGCTCTTTTGGGTAGTACTTTGTTTTAACCTCGTGACAAAACATACTCCTACAATATGGTTACAATATATGAAACAGAATAACTAGGAATCTCAAACAGGAAGAAAATACCGATTTCGAACCAACCGGCCCAAAACAGAAAATAAAGTTTTAGAACAAGATAGATCCCGAAAACCTTAATGTCAGATTTATTTTCGAAGCTGGTTCTTTCGTCTGGAATTTCCACAAGGGGAACCAAGTCTGTGCTATCCTTGTGGACTCTCAACCAGCATTTTCATTGATCCTTAAAGTGGGTTACATTGCATATCATAAACCCGATACCGGTTGGGGTTTTCAGCCCTCTGGGTGGCTAGATAGTAAATCATCCAATGGTGTACAGGAGATACGAATAGACGAAACGGTCTGTATCCGTAGCTGAGATTGGATGACCTTCCAGATTGGATCAAGTAAAAGAGACAAATCTGGGCCAAGTCTCCCTGAACAAGGGTACTTTTTGAGAAAAATCCCATCCAAAGACCTTGCTTGAACGTTCTCTTGAAGTGACAGCGGCGCCACCACCCATTTCCATCCCTCATGGTACCCTAGCTAATACTGTAAACGGTCGCGGGTTGTGGTCGTCAGGAAACAAGCCCAATACGATCCGATCGAGTTGATGATCTTCGCCCTTCATGGTCCATGTTGACACGCATCATACTTATGATATACTCTCCAAGCTTGCCATTATTGCGGCACCAAATTGAGGGAGTCGGCCCACGTGGCGACCAGACTGCTTCGAATCGTTGAAGCTACTACGTGGAGTGAGAGCTCATGCCATCAACACACCATGCCGACTCCAGCCTCGGCCGCATCACCACAATTTACACGTCTAGCAAACATTTGGAAACTATTGTCCCTACGCAGCGACGTCGATAATATAATATTGGAACTGGTGGGGCAGTTTTCTCTCGAAAAAGTATATTCTGATGGCGATAAGGAAACCTATCAAAATCTGGTGATAACTCTATTTGCTCAACTCAACGCCATTTTTTATATTCAACGTCTTTCTATTCCATCTGCGAAGCTTCAAAAAGATGGATGGCATTTCGGATTCCTGGCTAGCTGGGAGGTAACTCTGCGAATGATCGAATTTGTCTTGCACATAGTTATCGAAGGTCGAGAGAGTTTATGGGAGTCGCGACGATTGAGAGACAAGTACTTGGCCGAGCTGTTATTATCTGCGCTGCGTGTCCTCCAGCTATTACCACAACCACAATCCGACGGACAATATCAATCGAAAATCGAAATGCAAAGAAAGATTCGTCGAGATAGATTCGGGCGCATTCATCGTTCACTGGAACATGTGTTTGATAGTTATCCAGGGCCGAAATCATTTTTGTTGTTGGTTTGCAAAGAAATAACTGAATCATTGCGGGGTTCCGAGCCTAACCCACTAGCTTTACCCTCTAAATTAAGGGATGAACTACCAAATTTAGCAGAAGAATTGGTAAGAGCCACTATATTAACGTCTTACGTATGGGGCTCCGCTGGGCCTGAGCTTTCTCCGTACCCTTCCAGAACCTTTTAATCAAGATCTATGAATCTAAACTAACTGACATTCTTTTTCATCTACAGTATCCATTGAACGATTGTTTCTCGACAAAATATGTATCTACTCTTATACTTGCAGATGGTTCAGGAGGAGGAGGAGGAGGAGGTAGTGCGGGAGGTGGATGGCTCGCACAGTTCCTTGCACTTCGAGACATTACTCAATTCGTCGTCGCAGCTTCGATTCAATATACGATGAATGGAGAAACTCGCGATGCATATCTTCCAGCAGCATCAGAACGAACGAGGAATGCAGTTCTACGAGCGATTGAGAATATGCGGATACCGACACGATTCTCTAAAGAAGATTTGGTCGGTACCTTTACTGATCAATATCGAATCGTCCTTCCAGATACACCAGACTTGAGGAGACAGTCGATGCAGATAGAAATAGATGATAAGGAATTGGATGCAATAGATGCACTATGTCTACGACTTAATGATCGCCAAATCATAAGTCGTGTGAGTGATAGGGAGATGATGCATACTATATCTGAGATAACGAAAAGGATTCTTGCTCTTGATGATCCAAGCCGGCATGCCAAATCGTCAAGACCGAGAATATATACGCTCAATTGCTCCAAATGTCATTTAGCCGGTGCCTCACAGATGAGATACCTAGAGAATCTGAAATTTCCGGTACGCCAAGTATTTTACTAGAATTAATTTCTGACACAATCATATGGAACGGTTCCGAGCAATAGTCTGAATGTGGACTGACGCGAATGGAATAGCATGCTGACGATGATCTCTATGCTCAGTTGGAAAACCCAGATATAAATGAGGTTAGACTACCCTCACAGACAAAATGCGTTCAATGCGAAGAACCAGTTACAATAATGCGTGAGATGGCGCTTGCAAGGCAAGTTTGGGATCTTCTTGAGCCATTTGAATCTCATGCAGATGCTATGCATTTGGAACGACATGTTCCAACATACTTCCAGCTTCCACCGCCGAAAATGGATGGAGCAGTCCCTTATCATCCAGCTTACGGTAATTCAAGTGCAAGCAATATGAAGATGCGCACATATGATACTGAACCACCTTCACCCTTTCACAACAAGACAACTTTCATCTCTGCAGCTGCTCAAGATCGGTCCAGGTCTCTGCCTCATACTATGCCGTCTCAAGTATCGCCTACTGTTGGTACTTTCAGCCAAAGATTAGACACCCCCCTTACCCTACCTTCTTCCTCTTCTGATTTGGTATCACTGGATGGTTCGAGGTCAGGTGAAACCTCGAGAATACCAGAGCTTCGGAAGAATTCTACTACTACAGACGAGACACCATTTTCTCCAGATTCCGTTGGCAATACTTCACCAAATGATCATACCCCTTATGGAATGAACTCTGATGGCGGAACTTATTTTGTGAACCGACCAACAATTGGCCAGAGTCATTCTGATAGAAAAAAGTCAAAAGGTGGATCCAAATGGACATCGGTCTTCACTGGAACGCGAAAGGAGTCTGTTCCAGGACAGTCCATCGAAACTACATCACTCTCTTCATCAGCACTGGAGGCTCAAAGACTAGATGAAATAAATTTAGAAAGCTTAGTTCGAGTACCTAGAAAGACGTCGAAAAGCAAAAGCGCTAAAGCAATCAACATCTCTTTGTCGCAAAACTCAACGAATGGTCTATTCTGGACTCAATCCTTAATACAAATTTGGGACATGGGAGCATCCCCTCCCGCGATGACCCGTGTATTCCCAACAGAGAGTAGCTGTTATAAGGCATCTGTAACCAAAATGTATTTAGCTTATATAATTGGCACCCGAGATCCAAAGCTTACAGTATGTTCTTTCAAAAAATAGCACTTTCCTGACAATCTATCTATTTTCTAACAATAGGCTAGCTTAGAATAGTCAATTTACAAACATCAGCTCCGGTTGTAGAGTATCCTTTACCCCCAAATCTTTGGGCAAGCAGCATAGCTATTTCCCCTAACGAAAGCACAGTCGTAGTAGGATTTACAAACGCGACAGTCTATTTTTTCAAGACCACCCAATCATCCGAACCCAGAGAAGATCGCCTTCATAGTCGCATACATAACGAATGCGAAGACTGTCCGGAGGTAGAAACCCTCTCCTACTCAGACGATGGAATGCATCTTCTGGCCAGTACCCGAAGTGTCAAAAGCGGAGCAATCCAAATATATTTTTGGATGACTCCAATGCAATCGTCACAAGAACTAATCTCTTGTAGATATCATGTTCCATTACATGAGTCAGAAGACAGAGGCCTCTCGTCAGCTATTTTCCGCTCAAGAACAGGTATCGAAGAAGTTTTGGTGTGTATAACAACTTGGACACAATCCGGTGTTCCAGTCCTCGTTCATCCTAAAACAGGTCAAAAAACGGATATCAGAACCGCGCCTAATCGATCTGGAAAGTTGGGAAGTCGTATCCAATGCGCCAGTTTCTCTCCGTCCGGAAAAGAACTGGCTATGGTTAACGAAAAGGGGCATTTATACTTGATTTCCGCTTTAAATTCCAGTCCGTTAGATATTAGAAAGATAGCGGTTTCAAGAGAACTTACTATCAAATCTGATTCATTCGCGATGGCGTTTATGTCATTGCCAGATGAGGAGGCCGCGATTGTTATGGCATGGATTGACCCTTCGAAGGCGGAGAGGGGAGTGGTTAGGAAAATTCCTTTGACTAGTGTGAGTGTTCTTTTTCGTTGCTTTTCCTCGAGATATTTCGGGCAGTTCACCCACTACATCACCTTGAGCCCCTGTGATTTTTCATTTGCACTCCCAAGATTGTATGATACTAAAACATAACAGAACGATACAACTACTACGTCACCCATCCTCCACAAATCAGAAGTCAACTCTGCAACTTCTGCACCCAATACATATATGTCGGGTGCAATAAATGAATTACCGGGAGACTCAATACCAACTGAAATGGTGGCTGATGAAGAGCCGATCACAAAATATAGGATGATGGGATTTGTAAAGTTCCCGAGGAAATAGAGAGAGGGGACAAAGTAGATTCTGGAATGATTCGAATGAGGGAACATAAGAAGTGGTAATAAGAAATGACAGAAAATAAAAGAGGAGAACGAGAAATGCAACTGTTCTGATGGAAAGTATGAAGTGGAACCTCAGTGGATGAGCAGAGCTTGTTAGAATGGTGAGTGGCTTCGTTGGATCACTGATATATCTTATGTTATACTTGAGTATCTAACGGCACAACTAGAACATTTCCTGAGCTCTTGCATGGAATGAAATACTTGGAGAACTGGAAAAGAAGATTAAGATTTAAAAGAGTGTATGTAGGAAGATGTTCAAATCTCGAATTTCAAAATAAAGCAAATAACCAACGGCTTCAATATGATGTTGTGATCTCTGCATAAGTATCAGCCTTTGAGGGCTTAGATGTGATGATACGAAAGGTTATAGGATGTAAGAAATTGGAAATGTTGAAATGTTGAAATGTTTTATATAGAAATCCCTCGATATCTTCTCGCGATAGTGTTTGATCTTTTCCTCCCTCTCCCTATCTTTTGGATGTAGGATACTAAGTCAACTACCCCACTTTCCGACCACCCCCTCTTTTCGACCACCTCAAAAACCACACCGCTTTCAGTAATTATAAAATTTATACTTTGAATAACTCAACAATGCTTTAATCAATTGATTTGAAATTTTGATATTATTATAATTGTGATATGAAGAATAGATATACCGAAGAAGATATCGCAGAGGCTCTTAGAGCGATTACAAATGGAGCAAGCATACGAAGAGCTAGCTTGGATTATGGTGTTCCACGTACCACACTTCACGATCGAATATATGGTGGAGTTTCGCATCAAAAAGGCGCCCAAATACTTCAAAAGTTATCTCCAATTCAGGAGAATCGACTAGCAGAATGGATATTAGTACAGGAAGCTCTTGGTACTAGCCCTACACATCGTCAAATCAGAGAGATGGCAGAGCACCTCCTTATTGTACGAGGGGAGGATCCCTCACTTGGAAAGAAATGGATACATAGCTTTTTTCGAAGGCATCCTAATATTGGAACTAAGAAGCAACATCAAATCGATTCTGCACGAGTTTCAGGTGCTACATCTGATATTATTAAGAAGTGGTTCCGGAACCTCGCAATCCCTGAAATCAAGGCTATTAAGCCGGCCAACAGATGGAATATGGATGAAGCAGGTATAATGGAGGGTCAGGGTCTTAATGGACTAGTAGTAGGAAGCACTGATCGAAGATTTATTCAAAAAAAGCAACCTGGATCTCGAATTTGGACCTCTTTTATAGAATGCATTTCAGCCAATGGAAAAAGCATTACTCCCCTTGTAATATATAAGGGAAAATCAGTTCAACAACAATGGTTTCCAACAGATTTGACTCTATTCAAGGGTTGGAACTTTACCGCTACAGAAAATGGATGGACTACAGATGCTACAGCTTTAGAATGGCTGAAAAAGATCTATATCCCTCAAACTACCCCTATTCAGCCGGAAAATTCAAGACTCCTCATTTTGGACGGACACGGAAGCCATGAAACTACAGCATTTATGTTAGAATGCTTTAATAACAACATATATCTCTTACTTCTCCCACCACATACGTCACACGTACTACAACCACTCGATTTATCTGTGTTCTCACCCCTAAAAAGTGCATATCGAATCGAACTTAATAAATTAAGTCTATTATCCGATTCCTCACCAATTGGAAAGCGCAATTTCCTTTCTTGCTATCAGAAGGCTAGAATAGAAGGTTTAACTATTCAAAATATCAAGTCTGGGTGGCAAGCTAGTGGTCTTTGGCCCAAAAATATGGCTAAACCTCTTATGAGTCGACTTTTGCTTGAAAATAGCAATAGAGAGGTTTTATCACTTAATCCTGAATCTGATGATGATCCTATTCTTCAATGGAATATATATTCATCGTTTATTCAATGGAAAACCCCTCAAAAAGGAGCCGATATCAGAAAATATAGAGATATAATGATTCAAGAGAAGGAGATCGATTTGCCAACACGAAGATTACTATTTCGCAAGATTATAAAAGGATTCGATGCTAAGGATTATGAACTCTTAGAGGCAGAGAATAAGATTAGAAAGCTAGAATATCAATTAGATGAAGCATTACCTAGAAAAAGGCGAAAGGTTGTGGTATCTCCAAATTCGAAGTTCGCAGGGATTAGAGCTATAAGGCGTACACAAATTGAAGCTGGAGATCGTGAAGATGAGGTAGATGATAGCTCTAGTGCTATAGAAAGTGATTCTACAGGCGATTTCATTGAAGTTCAATAGTTATTGAGTTATTAAAGTTTTAAGTGTAGATAATATGAATTTTTTAGGTGGTCGGAAACAGGGGGTGGTCGGAAAGTGGGGGTAGTTGACTTATGATATGATATTTCTATTTTTTATGCTTTACCTCATCCTCTAGTTCTATCTCAAGTTTCAGATCCACATCCATACCTAGATCACACACGCACTTGCCACTTCCTACTTCACTTCAATATCGATAGATAGCTAGGTGTTAAAAACAAAAAGGCGGAATACCTTTAAAACGAAATTAAAATCTAGAAGTCTAAGGAGATGAAACAGAGGTGTGTAGTATGATACACGATACAAATATTATAGTATATTTATAACTAGGTATAACTAAGTATAAGTACAATTACAACTACAACTAGCGAAATAAGGTGGAAAAGAGGGTCTCTTCTCTTTATTTATTTTGATTCTGTCCTTCTTTTGGTAGAATTGGAGAGGAGATGAAAGGGAAAGGAAAATGGAAAGAAAATGAAAATGAAATGAGAAGATTCACCGCAACGACTGTACTTCTTTGTCCGTAATGTGCAGAGCTGTTTTTGTAATACTTGGATAATATGAGATTATCCTGTGAAATCTCCGCGGGATACGTGTGGATTTCTGACGCTATACAATACATACAATACAATCGATTTTTAGAAATATAAGCAAATCTTACAAAACCCTCCCCCGTCCCCTCCCGATGCCAAATCCTACTCAAACAACAGCTCCCCCTGCACATCCCCCTCCCCTCCGCCAAAACCTACCCAAACAACACCACCGCCCCAACACACAACCCCACTAACGCCAGCATCTCCCCCCTCCAGACCTCCTTCCTCCTCCCCATCCCCACCGCCCTCACCGGGGTCCCCGGTTTAACCGTCATCCCCGTCTTATACACACTCCACGTTACATTCCCATTACTATTCCTGGCATCTAATCCCCACTCCACAAATCCGATATACGCGTTGCTGGAAATATATACTTCTCTCCAGAGATAGTTGAGCAGCGGGGAGATATCCATTGCGGTGAGGGTGGTGGCGTTGATGGAGGGGTACCAGGTGTAGATTGTTTGGGGGACATGTGGGTCGTCGTCTACGCCTGTGGAGGAATTTGAAGAGGAAGAAGAAGAAGAAGTCGATGGAGAGGTTTGCGATACGTAGAGAGTATATGATATTCCCGCGAGGTTTATCACTGGTCTGGTGATTGTAGATGCGGTATCGTTGTAACCTAGTGGTATTAAACCACCGTAGTTAGCTTGCCAGATGGAGATTTTGGTAGCGGCGAATCGTTTGTCGAGGGAGAGAGAGGGTTCGAGATCGAGGTAGATGTTGAGGTAGCAGGCTGCGATCACGGATGCGTTTTGGAGGGAATCAGGGGTGGTGGCGGAGATGGTGTGGAGAGGGTTGCCCGGGTAGAGAGCCCAGTTGTTGGTGAGGGGGAAGAGGGAGATGTTGGAGATGGCGATGGGGAGGATGGAGGGGAGATTGAGGGTTAGGGAGGGGAAAGAGTGTGGGGTAGAGCTATCGGGGGAGGACCAGGAAAAAGTGGTGTTGAATAGTGTTGTTGAACCTACGCTACCGCTATTCTCGTCGGCGAGGGAGAACTTGAAAGAGATGAGGTTAGTTCGTTTCCCTTATGATTTCTTCTTTCTAAAGGGGGGAGAACAACTCACATCTGTGCATTGATACCCATCTTTATCAGTCGTTGTAATATCTGGGAAGAATGTATATCTTCCAGAGGTTGTTGTTGCATTTGTGGAATCACATATTTGTGTTGTTTGTGCATATATTGATGGTGTGAGGAAAGGGAAGAGGTAGATGATGATTTTGTATTGAGGTCTGAAAAGCATTTCGCAAGAAGTGTGCGAAAAGAAAAGACGTAGGTTTAGATGAGGAACTGGAAGATATAACGATTGAGTGAGTGGGATTTGGGAGACGATATGAAATTAACTTACACAATAGTTATGAGAACTGCAATGAAAGACTTGGAAAGTCATGAGGACATTAATGCAGTAAGTTTTAGGTATATTTTATGGCTATTGGTGATGAAAGATAGACGTAGGCGCTGCCTCTGACTATCCGGCAGCAAGATGGATATGAATTTGAATATAGAAGGTTTCGAGGAGTGTGAGGAGTTGAAGATAAAAACGCTTGCACCAGATACTTCTGTTGACACAAGACAATAGGAAATAATAAAGACGGCTCAACAACCCAATTGAGCGAGAACTAGACGAAGTCCTAGAAATCGACACGGTAGAATTGAAGGTTAAAAACCAACCAACAAGACGATAATGAATAAGCACTTTCCTTGACCTTTAGTATAATAATATCGAAATATGTCGACCTTCCAAAGGTCTGAATTGTTGGCCACGAAGTCCTACAATGTGGAATATACTGCGCCTTGTTGACTGCACTGAAAGGGCCTCACTTGAGGCCTTTCTAACTCCAACAGAAGTTCTGATCTGGGAGACCTACTTTGTTGGTTAATCTTATACATATCACTATTTGTTAGTATTCGCCCTTCCCAAAGGATGTTTTTCTTCACCGCACAGAGCGTATATTTGACAGAAGAACCACAAGAAAAGACAACCAAGATAATTGGTCAATTCCGAGGTCTCCCAGTCAAACATGAAAGAAGAGGTCTAGCCTCTAGGTCTCGTATACGGCCATCAAAAAGGCCTTCGTAAGCGCCGTGATTTGTTTTGAGAAATTCGTTCAGCGTTTATGTCACCGACATAAGTTTTTCGTCGCCTATAATATAGCGTACTTTCAGCCCTTCATTATCTAGTCCCGTTCTACAAGCCGTGCCGCGTCCTCGGACCTTTCACCACGTTTCTGAGTACCGGTTCCTGACTAACTACTTGGCATGAAATTCGAATCTTTTCTGTTAGTGAATTCATCTGGTGTTCTTTTTTACCAGTTGCCGCATATATGATTAGATTCGGAGCCGAAATGATTTATGGTCTTATACGGATTTCACAATATATGCGTTGTTTCAGGGTTCTTGCTCATAGTGATAATTACTGAATCGTGGCAACCTTACTCTGTTCTGTGCCCTTACCAGATTGAAAGGGAGTTGGGGTAGTGTCCATGTAGTTCGTATAGTTACAGTTTTGTACTGCATAATTGTTGTCTGTTAATTCTGATCATGAAGAGGGGGAGAGATGAGTTCTGGTGTGATTCGAGTATTTTTCTCCTCATTCGTAGCATTCAAATTCACAGTCATGCGTTGATCTTGTCGCTCTGTGAATTGTGGTGAGAAAATGATTTCCATGCCAAATTTAAAGTGTGGCTAGTGCCTTGATCGATCAGTAAGTTCTAAAAACCACATGATGGTCTAGATAGATCAACAGATTGCTCCAGGGAATGGAAATAATCATCTTCCTCGATTGTTATCGGGATCGTATGAATGCTTTCCGGAGTTCCCTCTTCGTACGCGCCCATTAGACACGATATTCGCAATCCTGAAATGAGGTTTGGCGGGAAGAATATTGACGTGATGCTTGTAATGATCGCTAGGGATCGAGTGTTTTCCATTCCACCAAATCCTGTCTTGACACATCCAACCGGTAACCAACTTGCCCTCATTCTAATATGAGGTTAAGTCTGTGAATGTTAACATTGATATTGACTTGAAGATATTCAATATTGCTACTTGTGAGTTCATGTTTTCAATAGATCTCCGGGGAGTGACAGATTGTATTTTACCTATTCCTCGCAAGCTCATAGGTTAAAGCGTTTTCAGCTAGCGGTAATGGACGCCAATTGCCTCGTTTGCAATTTACTTCTGAAGGCACGATTTTCAGGGAATCTATGGAGTGGAAACATCTCAATCTAATAATGGCAGCCAAATCACTTTTCTGTACTGCCGAGGAAGATAAGCTTGTGAGTGGGTGTAATGATGGAGTAGCCTAGTTCGTAAAATTGACCAAGAATCACAGTTTTTAAGTAGAGCCTTGTTAATAGAGAATCCGGTTCGACCGTAATGATTCGCTGGGATGCTCGTTTCTTCAGGCAAAGAAACTCAACTTAATGCAGAACTGATAGAGGGAAATGAGTTGACAGCAAGTGCATTGGAGCCTCCCCACAAGACTGACACGGGCCGTTCAAGATCAATTTTGTCGTGAAAAACTTGATCGCTCTTGCGGATACTCGCAATACCCCAGTGACATAACTCATCTGATACGATTCTCTTTCAGAGAAAATGACGACCGTGAAGAAACACTCCAATCGAGAACTACTTTCACATGATTAGAATCGATAGTGAATGAGCTCTGAGATATTGGAAGACGTTTCCTAGTCAACGAAGGTGTGAAAAATGAATATGCGGAGACCCAGGCAGATGTCGATTTTACTCTTCTTATTTGAGGCCACGCTCTTTGACTTTGAAATTTAGCACTTTGCTCCTTTGCTTTTATCCCCATCAAAGCCGAGAAAAGAACAAGAAAACGGAGATTTGGCTTTGCTCTTTACTCGCAGCTTTTGTGCAGCTTATCTATGTATTTACTTTACCCCTTCATTTCTCTAGCGAACTTTTGCCAAGTGAGTCTTCAAGAACTATCAACATAACCTCTATGCAGAACACTTGGGATTGCGCGGTAATCGAATTAGGATAAAACAAAATAATGCAAAATGCAATACGAGACTCCTTTTTATAAAGAGCATGAGCTGGCATTTCCTCGAACCTTCCATGAAAGTCTGATGAGGGTGAATGCCGGTACGAAAAAAGCTTTAATTTATTAACCTTAACATAGCATCGTCGATTTTCTAAATTAAGAAATCTATTCGGAACGGTCGGTAAGGGTATGCTAGAAGGAGGAGCTGCGCGGAAAATTTCTATAGGAAATGATTAATTCTGACGACATTACGGAGTCAGTCATTGTATTTTCCTTGGTCGGGCGGAGCGGAATGGATGAAGACAGAGCTGGGGCCACTTTATGAGCCAGCTGGATACGATTTACTGTGAATTATGCAAAACCACCTGAGCACAAATACGGATGGATATCGTAATATTGTCAAATGCCGGTACTGGTTTCCAACTATCGACTCCTGAGTCCTGACCGTTGAATGGGAGGGCAAGGAAAGACAGCCAAGCCCGATTGGCTGCATTGACCTTGAATACCTAGTAAGTGAGGCGCAGCACAGTATTATATAATTTGAGACCAACAAGGAATCTTTTTCTCATTCCGATTCCCGAGATTCTACTTTGTACTCTATTTTACACCATCTGTTGTCCCGTACTCTGGTCTCCTTTGTATATTTTGTTCAATCCTCAAGGTTCAAGGTAAAGAGTAGCAAAGTCCATACGAATCTTCCCAGTAAGATCCACTGCACCAATAAGATTCAAGGCTCATACAAGAATCCCTTTCCCTGAGGTCTAAGGCCTCCAAGTACGATTAATACGATGTCCAGCCCGACCAGAAAAGAATATCTCCACTTCCAACCATGCATGTTCCACGCGTCGTCACAGCTAAGCACCAAATTTAGTTTCTCTACGACAAAAGAAACAAATGAGCCTTCCATGACAAAACTTGTAAACCTCCTTTGGAAAAACAAATGAGACGTTGACAGGAGTTCGTCCAATCTCATTGTTGCAGTTGACATCCATTACGAATCAATGCCATTTTGAAAGTTTTATTAAGGGGCCCTCGATTCAAAGAGGAGACTTGTCTCTCATTATTGCAAGAGCTCCGATGTGAAGTTCCTTTGTCAAGTAAGATTCAAATGAGCTTAGACAAATCATGGGTTAGTACCTGGGAATGAAGCATATCTCGATATATCGGGCCAACTATGGTGGTTGGACGAAGTTTCCGAGTATCTAGGATAATGGATTTCAGATGTCGTTTGTGCTGCCGACTGGGTTTCTCACAACTCACTCCCTCGGCCAGAGCTGGTGTGGAGACCAACCGTCTTATCCGCTGCACACTTACCTCGTATCTAGTTACAAGGGGCCTCCTGTGAATTTCTTTCTTATCTTGATCCCCGATGCCCCGAATTGGGATGACTTCACACACACTACTGCAAGCAACTTCCATTAACTGCTGTCGTTCATAGCGTCAGGAAGATACCTTGTGAGCGGTAATAGATTTCACGGCGGCTTCCGGAATATCCACTTGAATCTTTAGGAAGCAAGGTCTTCCTTCCAATCACTTGTGTACCGGTCACTAAGATGAAACGTTTGCACTAGTAAGTTCGGATGACAATTATGTTCAATATAGGTATTGTTCGAAATATTCATTGTGGTAGGGTTTCTTAACCACAATCACATTTCATTAATTCTGGTTTGCAGTAATACGGCAATCTTCCGTGGGGGTTCTCTTCAAATTTATACAGCTCGAATGGAGAGCTAAAAACACATTGCGTAGAGGGTTTGCGTTGAGGTGGGTCCAGAAGTGGCTCGCTCTCCCTTGTTGCGTTTTCCAATTTAGTAAGCTTTGTCGCATCTTCCAACTACACACTCGAGTATCGCTGCATCAGAGAGATAGTGGAGCAGTCATCTAGAGTTCTCCTTGTACTTTCATGGTAGCAACACCATAAACCTAGATGCTATACCCAGTCATGTTGTCGGCGTTTGCTTAGGTGACTGCCAAATCCATACAAATATGTCGGGTTTATGTATCGTTTCTGTTTTTAGACGAACTGTCGAAGATTTCTACAATATCCTGGATGGCTGATCTGCACTGCTTGCAGTCCAAATCCAAGAAAAAGAATCTAGGTTGAGCTTGCTTCTCTCTTTGGAGAATAGTTGAAATGGCAATTGAACACCAAGATCTTCCACTTTCAACATCCACACAACTCGAACTATTCTGGATAGCAATTTTGATTCCTCCAGCCCGCAGCATTGAGAAGCCTTGGGGGGTTTCAAGCGTTCTTCAATTGCATGAGCAGACTTATCAGCGAGTGTTGCCAGTAAAATCTATTGTCATGATTGAAGCAACTAACTGCATTCAGCTCGATTGTTCAATTCTGTATGCTACATCTAAGCCCTGTCAAAGACGTTCGATAAACTTGAATACCTATAATTATCATAGCTCATGATTAATTGATAAAAAATATTTAATACCAGGTCCCTTGAAACTCTATAATATGAGCAATGTAAAGGCTAAAGCATAGCCTAGATGGTACTAGCTCAAATGAAAATAAAAAAATTCAGTGGGAAAGCTCCTCATGGAAGAGCCAATATTACTAAGTAGTAACATCCCACATATTATCTTGGCAGCGACTTGAGATCTTGAGGCATCTCAAAAGCACTCCTCAATCAACATGTTCCCCACTGGTGCCATATTTTTATAGTACAAGTGGCTCCATGAAGCCTTGTACAGATGTTATCCAATCATTTTCACCATTGCCACTCATGGTTCGAGGCTTTGACAAGGACATGTATGTATGTCACTAACATCCACTTCGTGTCTCTTACTATTTTGGTCTCACAGATATCGTGCATGCGGAATTCCCATCTCTTTAAGAATCAGACGATGCCTACAAGCCTCTTATTCTTTAGGGTTCACTCGTTTTCCTCATCAAATTTTTGGGTTCTTTATTAACACGGTCAATTGACCTCACTTTCATAGACATTCCCTGAACCTCGAGTCTTCTCTACTTTCATTCGTCAACTTGATATTCCGTGGAAGCATAATTCGGGATGATAAAGTTCCCTCCCACAGCGGCTCACAGTGATAGTGATGACCGCGGAGAATTTCAATCTCTCCCTCAACCACCGTCACCTACAGCAGCAAGATGGGGTGAATCTTACAACAATGAATCAGTCACCTCTTTAGACACCATTCAAAACAGTCGACCCGGTACTCTCCGATCATCATCGCACATGAACTTAATAAACAATCATAGCTCGGCAACTCTATTACCTGGCCCATCGACACCTTGCCCCTCAACAGCTGGTCCATCATACGGCAATTCGTTAGACGCCTTTAATCATGGCCGCTCTTTCTCCGATACCTCATCCTACGATGGAGCAACAGCATGCCCGACACCAGCTTTACACGATGAAAGTATCAGTTATGAAGAATTCAAGAAGGAAGATCCAGCCACCGCTAGAAAAGTTAGGCATTTCAACACCTTCAACAAGCGATATGATACTTCTGTCTATCAAATTGAAACACTACATAAGCACGATGACGAAATCTTCCTTCCTCCTTGGAAAAGAAATATGTATCGATTATCACCACTCTTCACATTTCTCGCCTGTGGTTCATACTTCCTCTACTACGCATACCGTATCATCTGTATCGTAGATGTTCAAAAAGCATATAACAAGGTATATATTATGGCATGGCTTTTTATCGCAGCCGAAGGTTGCGTTGCTTGTAAGTATTTATGTTTTATCAATTTCTCCGTTTCTCTCTGTTGGACGTGTGTTGTTGGCGACGGAAAATACCCAGCTGCCTTCACGTAAAAATCCTTCCGCTTATCACAACTCCTGCAAATTTATCACTCCTGCCAAGTTTTTGCCAAGAGATCACCTACTTACGTCAAATAGGTCCCGCATTGCTCCACCAACTTTATCAAATGTTATCAATTCGCGGTCGTTCACGACCAAAGCTTCGTCTTCGTGGTGAAGAAGTACCTAC